CCCCCCCCCCCCCCGCTGATTTTACGAGGCATTAGGAAAGCACTTCAAGGCCTGAGCAGAAAGATCGCTCGGGATTTGTGAAGCTATCAATTCCGTCTGAAACCTATCTGGCACACGCCTTGGTACAAACAGCTCTGCTCAGGTGAGAAGCGGGAGGAAACGTCCGAAGGTGCTTCTACCTTTTTGCTTGGTCGCTTTCCCCACCCAGAGAGACCCCGCTGCGATGGGGGCCTCTACGGATGAGGGAAGCGACCAGGCGAAAAGGCGCGAGGGAGCGGAGTTTCCGGGTCTCTCTCTGAGGAGAAACCAAGCCTAGCTTCCTTCCTTCCGTCCGACTCCGAGGTACCCTCCACGCGCATGCGCACGCCATCCCTCCCTTTTCCCCCGACGCGAGGCCTCTTTCGACGCTTTCTCCCGCAAAGGAGCGCCCGGCTCAGGGCCGAGGAGCGGGGAGAAGCCGTGCTCACCGCCTTCAAAGCTCGTGACGGACAGGGCTTTAATCAGCCCCACCAGAACCGCCAGAAACGAAGCCGAGTCTGAGGATAAACCCTGGAACATCTTCCCCCTAGAAAACAAAATGGCGGGCGAAAGTGGAACTCATCCCCTTGGGCGGGAAGAGGGCGCGTGAGCGTCACGTGACTCTGGGAGGCCAAGTGGGCGGGGTCCGGGCTGCCTCTGCACCAGAGGTCCCCAAACTTATTTGCCCCCATCTGCTCAGCCTCTTCCCTCGGAAATCTGCTTTTATCAAGTGAACAAAGATGCTGTGACACGTTTGCATTCTTTTCTGGATCTATCTAGCAATATGTTACAGGTATGGGCAAACTTCGGCCCTCCGGGTGTTTTGGACTTCAACTCCCACAATTCCTAACAGCCGGTAGGCTGTTAGGAATTGTGGGAGTTGAAGTCCAAAACACCCGGAGGGCCGAAGTTTGCCCATACCTGTAAGAAGGATATGGTAAATGAAAAACTTTGAAGCTTGAAATGATAAAGTTGTTTATTAAAGTCATCCATAGCACACAAAATAAACTTAATTGATGCACTATTCACTTCATGTTTAGTTCTATTTTTTGGTCAGTTTACTTATTGTACTTGCACTGCTATTAACTGCTTGTTACCCAATTCAGAAACAGTCTAAATTAGATTTCGTACATGTGGCCTATGTATACTATTGTGTTGTAAACAAATCATTTGATGGTGCTTTTCCTGTCTTGTCTTAAATTATATTTTGTAGATAATTTGGCAAGGATAATATACCATACGTGTCAACATTAAAATAACTGGTACCACAAAGATAAAAATAACATTTTTAAAAAATCGGGATTTTTTTTTAAGTTAGCATTAAAATAATTAGAGCTTTTAAAGGTTTATGATCAAATCAAGCTGTGCTGTGGTTTTAGCTTTGAATGTTTTTAATCCACTTCTATGGATTTTAATTAGATTTTTATTCACTGATACTGAATTCTTTTATTGTTTGTATATCTGTAGATATGAAATTGTTTTGTAATGTTTTAATGTAAGCTGCTTTGAGTCTCTTTTGTGGAGATTTAGCGATCTTCAATCTATCATATTTAGCAACTTAAAATTCAAACAAAAAGGTATGTTAGTCTAGATCATCATGTACAGCAATCTTGTTGCACCTCTGAGACTGAGAAAAGTTGTTGGCATAGGTTTTGTAGATCAAGTGCTACAAAATCTGAGGACGGTCTGGAGTGGCAATGTCCCAAACTGGCCCTGGGGAGGAAGCTACATCGCTTGTCTCCATCCTGCAAGATGGAAATCGCGACCGTCCAGTTGAGCTGAACCCAGTTTGGCCCTCCTTGCCTTTCCTGTTTCTTGTTGCTGCAGCAGCCCACTTGTGGCAGTCCCTGGTGTGTCTACTGACATCAAAGGCATTTGAGGAAATCAACAGTGTATGAAATGCCAACTTATTTCAGTTAGTTTCAAAGATACGACAAGATTCCTTTGCATCCTTAGCAGCTTCGAGGTCTGTGCATCTTTTTAAAACGAACTACACCTAAATGGAACATGCTGCCTCAGAGTATGGTTTCCTACTCTGGAGGTTTGAAAGCAGAGGCTGGATGACCATCTGTCGTAGGTGCTTCAATTGTGCTTTTCCTGCAAGGCAGGGGTTGGACTGGATGGCTTTTGTGGTCTCTTTAAGTTTCAAAAAACAAGTTTGAAGAGTTAGGACTTTATTAGAAAGTTTGATCTTAGTAATTACTAATATTTCCATATGGGAAAAAATGTATTCCCTTAAAGCAAAGCTTTCCAGACATTTCATGAATCATTTTACAACATAATTCATTTAAGTCACCCCTTATAGGAGATATGTTTACTGTTGAGGCGCTAATGATTGTTACACTGATGTTTAATGATTTATGTTACAATTGTTTTTAATTGCCCTATACTTGACTCGTGATGTTTTGTATCGATGTTGTTCACCGCTCTGAGTCGCCTGAGGGCTGAGAAAAGCGGTATATAAATAAATAAGGGCACAAACATAAATTATTATAACAACATGTATGGGGACACAACATATCTCAAGAAAACCTTTCATTTATATATATTTTAAAGATATGATTTATTGCTTATTTCATATAGACTCATAGGTTTCTTGTTATGCTTGTGTGACATATCGACAGACCACAGCCAACACTCTTGCATGACACAGTTTGGAAAGCTATGCATTAAAGGTATATTCCCTTAGAAACATTTATTTGAAGGAATTTTTAATATGTGTGGCTTTTTAGGTCTATTGTATTTCCCATTTCTATGCATGGTTGTAAAAGCTGGACAGTGGGGAAAAAAAGTGAAGAACATTGATTCATTTGAAACATAGAACTGGGGAAGAATTCTGCAAATACTGCAGACTGCCAAAAAGACAAACAAATGGGTCTTGGAGTAAATCAAGCCTGAACTCTCCCTAGAAGTCAAGATGACTAAACTTTCACTGTTGTATTTTAGACACATTGTGAAGGGCATGAGGCAATAAGAAAAGGGGACTATCGTACCACATTGGGATAGACACCATCAAAATAACCATGGCCCAGAGCCAGCAAGACCTGAACACAGCTGTTGATGACACGGTGACTTGTAGGTCTCCAATGGATCAATAACCAAAAAATAAAGTGACAACATCAACTTTAATGAAACAGCAGAGGAAGCCATTATTTCTAGTATTTAAAGCTGTGACTAGTCAAACACTCTTTAGTCTTAAAAATACCAGACAAAAGATTGTTAGTATAGTTGGAAGTCTCTGTTTGGAGGATTTCTTCCTAGAACATTTTCGTAGGATATTGATTCTTCAACATTTCAAAAGGTATTTATGAAATCTGGATTAAGGCAAAAAACCAAATACTTCTAAAAATAACTTATTCAGAAGCCTTCACTTTTTTCTCTAAAGGTGCATTTTAACTGCAGAATTGATGCAGTTTAACACCATTTTAATTGCTATGGCTCAAAACCATGGCATCCCAGAAGCTGTAGTTTGGTGAGGACCCAGCACTCTTTGGCAGAGAAAGCTAAAGACCTTGTAAAGCTACAACTCCCAGGATGCCATATAAATTGATCTGTGTGAGCTAAAGCTGCATCAAGCTGCATGAATTCTTCAGAGTAGATGCACCCTTAGACAAAATCCATTGAAAAAATATATGGTGTCTGTTTAAAATTGCAAATCGTTTTATTTTATAAATTCTATTTTTAAGTACAGTGTCATTTATATCATTTACACATACATATATCAAACAGTATTGTCTGAATTCTATTAATAATCAGTAGTATACTCCGAATGGACAGCCATTCCTATCATATGCTACTTACCATTTTCAGTGTGTTTTTAAAAGTCATGGTCATTTACATGTTTCAATCTGTTTTGAAAAAATATGATTCTCTTTATTTACATCCGTAAAGTTTACACATGTAAACCCGTTAAGTCTCTGTTGGGATTAGCCTTTTAAATTACAACGGAAATATATTTTTGAATGCAACTCCAGGATTAGAGAGGAAATAGTATCTGTTGATTGTGAAAAATAATGTTTCTTTTGAATGATACGTGTTTCCAAGAGGAAGCAATAAGTCTCAAGGGGAATCCAAGATCACGGATGGGAAGTTTGCACCTTCACAGGATATGGAAGATTACCCACCACATTGTTAAGAAACACTGGAAGCTCACAGCAGTAGCTTTACTACGTACATTAAAAACTATCCAGCTTCTGTAATTGACTGTACGAACATAGACGCCTGGATATCTTGGTCGACCACAACCATACCCAAAGCTTGTGATTCCTACCAGATAAAACCTGGCAGCAGATGGAATGTAGCACATCAGAGGTCCACCGCTGTCTCCCTGGAAAACACAAGACGGCAACATGAGTTTTCATTGTGAATGAAATTCGCCCATGATTATAATTAGCAGGATTGCAATCCCATAAATCTGACTTATCAAGTGAAAACACTTTTCTAGGAAACATGGATAATTATGGAAAGGCAGAACAGGTTGTAATAGTTGGGTTATAATTATGATGATGACAATGATGATGACGAATCCCTACAAATATCAGCTGCTGATATTTGTTCAAAAGCTGACTCCAAAAATGAAGCTAGAGGTCCCAAAGTGCATAATGATCTATTTTGTTTATTACACTATATAACACATTTTTCGTTCCTGGCTTATAAATTTCATTTCCTAATTGGTTCTATCATAAAAACATGGAAAAGCTTTATTAAACTGCAAAAAACGTTGGTATTGTGGTATATCCTGTAGCACATTTAGCTATAGTTTTTTAGTGAATATATCAGAGTCTCAGGCAATTCAACTTAGTTTGTGGCAGCCACAAAAATGAAGTTTCTGGAGCACAACAACTACTTTCAAAGTAAGTACCACACAATTAAAGAAGAAATAACACTTTCAAACCAATTTTTGCTACTATTGTTATATATCTCCAGCAAAGGATCACCGCCTTGTCGGGGCGCTGGAGCTTGAGCACCTCAATGATGTCATGAGCGAAACCGTGAAGGGACACCCAAGACGGGACGGTTGTGGCAGAGAGGTCAGGCCAAGCGTGATCCCTGGGGAAGGCAATGGCAAACCACTCCAGTATCCTTGCCAAGAAAACTAAATGGACCAGTACAACCAGAGATATGTCGGTATGCAATTGGAAGATGGGACTCCCAGGTCGGAAGATGGCCAAAATGCTACTGGGGAGGAGCAGAGGATAAGTTCAACTAGCCCCAGATGTGATGACGCAGCTAGCTCAAAGCCGAAAGGAAGGCTAGCGGCCGACGGTACTGGAGGTGAACGACGAATCCGATGCTCTAAAGATCAACACACCATAGGAACCTGGAATGTACGATCTATGAGCCAGGGCAAATTGGATGTTGTTATTGGTGAGATGTCAAGACTAAAGATAGACATTCTGGGGGTCAGCGAACTGAAATGGACTGGAATGGGCCACTTCACATCAGATGACCACCAGATCTATTACTGCAGACAAGAGGAACATCGAAGAAATGGAGTAGCCTTCATAATTAATAAGAAATTCGCTAAAGCGGTGCTTGGATACAACCCAAAAAATGACAGAATGATCTCAATTCGAGTGCAAGGAAAGCCTTTCAACATCACAGTGATCCAAATATACGCCCCAACCACAGCTGCTGAAGAAGCAGAAGTAGATCAGTTCTATGAGGATCTGCAGGAACGACTGGATAATACACCAAAAAGAGACATTATTTTCATTACAGGAGACTGGAATGCCAAGGTGGGAAGTCAAATGACAACTGGGATCACAGGCAAGCATGGTCTGGGAGAACAAAATGAAGCGGGACGCAGGCTGATAGAATTTTGCCAGGAAAACTCGCTGTGTATAACGAATACTCTCTTCCAACAACCTAAAAGACGGCTTTACACATGGACCTCACCAGACGGTCAACACCGAAATCAGATTGACTACATCCTTTGCAGCCAAAGGTGGCGGACATCCATCCAGTCGGTGAAAACAAGACCTGGGGCTGACTGTAGCTCAGATCACGAACTTCTTATTGCCAATTTAGAATAAAACTAAAGAGATCAGGGAAAATACACAGACCAGTTAGATATGATCTCACTAACATTCCTAGCGAACATACAGTGGAAGTGAAGAACAGATTTGAAGGACTAGATTTAGTAAACAGAGTCCCAGAAGAACTATGGACAGAAGTCCGCGACATTGTTCAGGAGGCGGCAACAAAGTACGTCCCAAAGAAAAAGAAAACCAAGAAGGCAAAAAGGTTGTCTGCTGAGACACTGGAAGTAGCCCAAGAAAGGAGGAAAGCAAAAGGAAACAGGGATAAGGGGAGATATGCCCAGTTAAATGCGCAATTCCAGAGGTTAGCCAGAAGAGATAAGGAAGTATTTTTAAATAAGCAATGCATGGAAGTGGAAGAAGACAACAGAATAGGAAGGACAAGAGACCTCTTCCAGAAAATTAGAAACATTGGAGGTAAATTTCAGGCAAAAATTGGTCATGATCAAAAACAAAGAGGGCAGAGACCTATCAGAAGCTGAAGAGATCAAGAGAAGGTGGTGAGACTATACAGAAGATATGTATAAAAAGGATAATAATATCGAGGATAGCTTTGACAATGTGGTAAGTGAATTAGAACCAGACATCCTGAGGAGTGAGGTTGAATGGGCCTTAAGAAGCATTGCTAACAACAGGGCAGCAGGAGATGACGGGATCCCAGCTGAACTGTTTAAAATCTTAAAAGATGATGCTGTCAAGGTGATGCATGCCATATGCCAGCAAATATGGAAAACACAAGAATGGCCATCAGATTGGAAAAAATCAACTTATATCCCCATACCAAAAAAGGGAAACGCTAAAGAATGCTCAAACTTTCACACAGTGGCACTTATTTCACATGCCAGTAAAGTAATGCTCAAGATCCTGCAAGGTAGACTTCAGCAATACATGGAGCGAGAGTTGCCAGATGTACAAGCTGGGTTTAGAAAAGGCAGAGGAACGAGAGACCAAATTGCCAATATCCGCTGGATAATGGAGAAAGGCAGGGAGTTTCAGAAAAACATCTACTTCTGCTTCATTGACTATTCTAAAGCCTTTGACTGTGTGGATCATAATAAATTGTGGCAAGTTCTAAGTGGGATGGGCATCCCAAGCCACCTTGTCTCTCTCCTGAGGAATCTGTACAAGGACCAAGTAGCAACAGTCAGAACTGACCATGGAACAACAGACTGGTTCAAGATTGGGAAAGGCGTACGGCAAGGCTGCATCCTCTCACCCAACCTTTTTAACTTGTATGCAGAACACATCATGCGATGTGCGGGGCTTGAGAATGCAAAGCTGGGGTGAAAATTGCTGGAAGAAACATTAACAACCTCAGATATGCAGATGACACCACTCTGATGGCCGAAAGCGAGGAGGAGCTGAGGAGCCTTCTAATCAAGGTGAAAAGAAGAAAGCGCAAAAGCTGGGTTGTAGACTAAACGTCAAAAAAACCAAGATTATGGCAACAAGAATGATTGACAACTGGAAAATAGAGGGAGAAACCGTGGAGGCCGTGACAGACTTTGTATTTCTAGGTGCAAAGATTACTGCAGATGCAGACTGTGAGCCAGGAAATCAGAAGACGCTTACTTCTTGGAAGGAGAGCAATGTCCAATCTCGATAAAATAGTAAAGAGTAGAGACATCAGACTGGCAACAAAGATCCGCCTAGTCAAAGCCATGGTATTCCCTGTAGTAACCTACGGATGTGAGAGCTGGACCTTAGGGAAGGCTGAGCGAAGGAAGATCGATGCTTTTGAACTGTGGTGTTGGAGGAAAGTTCTGAGAGTGCCTTGGACCGAGAAGATCCAACCAGTCCATCCTCCAGGAAATAAAGCCCGACTGCTCATTGGAGGGAAGGATACTAGAGAGCAAAGATGAAGTACTTTGGCCACATCATGAGAAGACAGGAAAGCTTGGAGAAGAAAATGATGCTGGGGAAAATGGAAGGAAAAAGGAAGAGGGGCCGACCAAGGGCAAGATGGATGGATAGCATCCTTGAAGTGACTGGCTTGACCTTGAAGGAGCTGGGGGTGGTGACGGCCGACAGGGAGCTCTGGCGTGGGCTGGTCCATGAGGTCACGAAGAGTCGGAGACGACTGAACGAATGAACAACAACAACAATTGTTATATATTCAGGAGCTGGAAAATGTTTTGGATGGAGGAAAAGTGTACTCCATAATTTTCTTCACATCTTTGAATCCCAACTACAGTAGACTGATTAACCCAATAGGAACTTGGTAAAGAAACCATTATTTAAGTTACATTGATTTCAAAAGGGCTATATTAGTTGAGAGTGACACCTAGTGTTTCCCCTTTCATCTTAATCATTGTGAGTCCATAGGCAGAAAACCTGGCCCCTCAGGAGTTTTTTTCAGTGCCTAGGGCATATAAGACAACAGAGGAGAAAAACTGAATTAGAGTATGCCTTCAGCTTTATTTTTGAAACTTGTATCTATTTAAAAAAAATATTGGAAATGACAACCTTCATCAACCCTTCTCTAGCAATCTATTTGTCTATGACAGCGATTCCCAATCTTTTTTTGATCAAGGAGCACTTGAACAGGGACCACTCTCCAACATTAGTACCAAAAGGGTTACAAATCAGTTTTTGGTCAACTATAGATTTGGTTTGGTTATTTGGGGTGCTGATTCAGAAAACTGCATTGGATAGACCACATCAGCTTTTGTTTCTGATATAGAACATATGCCATCTAGTAGTCACCATCTGCTCACCCTCAGAAAACCATATGTAATAATCTAGAGCTGATGTGGTAGTAGTAATCTTTTGTGGGTAGTCAGCCTCTCCCCTCCCGACATCCCAGTTGCCTAAGCACTATAAGAGGAGACCAGTTGCTCTCGTTGCTGTGTGGTTTCGTGGCAATGGTGTAGTAAAGGTGAGGCTGGGGATCATTTTTTTGTTCTTATGGACAACACGTTGGGAACAACTGGTATATGTTGTTTCCTGTTTCCTGTATGTATGTTCTGGTGTGAAGCTTCCTTTACTCTATGGTTTCTGAGAAGTTATAAAAGGGACTGCAGACCATATGTTCTCTTTTTTTCTCTCCTTTTGACTATGTGACCTGTTGATAACTGTTTTGTGACAAGAGAGATGCCCTGGCCGGCTGACACAGGGAACCACATCAAAGTTATCTGAAACTGAAGTAGTAAGGTTTTTTTGTACCTGTGTATGATGAACACATGAAAGTAAACAAATATGTTATTTCCATCAAAGTCTACTTCATTTTTGAGTGCATTATAGGAAACAAGTTGTTTTATGTGAAAGTACTTTTTTGGACACTGAGAAAGAAAATACTTCTAAAGCTCTGTTGTTTTATGCACTGGCAACATTTCTGTATTCCTGACAGATCGGTGATCACTGGTTATTCAGTCTAACAACTGAAACCGTTGCCCAGCTTAATTATATTTGGTTGTACACTACAAGAGGAGATTCTGCTCTAAAGGGTATTTTGGCTCTTCTCTAAAAAATTATGTTCTGTAATAAAATCAGGTAATTTTTCTTCCCCATTTTTTTTGTTATTTTGGTGCAGTTTTGAAATACTTCATAACATAGCATGAATTGTATCATCAGCAATTGCATACAGGCATTTGTGACATGTTATTGTATGTGTATATGTTTTAAATTGGAGATTGTTTTTAATTTGCTGTAAACCGCAATTGAGTCGCCGATCCAGGCTGAGAAATTAGCGGTATACAAGTGTACCAAATAAATAAATAAATAAATAAATAAATAAATAAATAAATAAATAAATGTTTTAAATTGGAATTCTCTCCATTTTACCTGGCAACTATCAACCTTCCCACTTTCTGTGCCAGCACAAACCATATTCCATGTTATTCTTCCTCCATACCAGTTATATCGATTACATGTACTCAGTGGAATAATCTCTACTTGAGCTTCTTGTAATATAAGTTTTCCCTTACCTGTTAACAAAACACAAAATACTACTTAAAACAGTATAAAATAATGTGGTCATTTTGCAAATTTGCTGAGTGTTGACAGCTCAAAAGCCCATATAACTCTCCTTAATGCATCACACCAGCATCCCATGTATTCAAAATATTTTACATTAAATGACAAAACAAAGCTCTACCATTCTGGCAGTGTGTTCTGGAGCTGCTTGGTAAATTTGCAGCAAAATCTTGTTGGGCAGCCAGCACAAACTCCAGGCGTATATGCAGCTATGGCTAAAATCCCATTTCCTCCTGCAATTTTTATGTTGTGCTTACTGTAATTAACAGTATTTTTTTAGTTTTCTACTATTGTTTGAATCCTAAAAATGTGAATGGTGGAAAGTAGGAGACACGTTTATTTTAATTAAATACATAATTATGTCCCCAGTATATCTGATAAGCAGTTCATTTTTACCACTATTATAAAATATAAAGTGTGTAATCTGCTCAGATGGATATAAAGAAAGTGCAATGAGTTTAGACACCATCACTGGCAACATTACTGTGTGTGCCAGCAATATGATGAGCCTTTGTGAGACTTACCAAACACATTTAAACAGAGCCAAATCAATTATTCATTTAATTTATCTCCTTCAACTATCTACACTTTTAAAAATCCATGTTATGTAGAACAGTCCAAAGAATGTAAAAATTAAAATATAATTTGCTCAAATGTACGTTTTACAAAATTCACATTTGGCAAAAAAGCGAATTTTTGTAACAGAACACAGAAATGTGTTTTTGTGGATTTGAGGTCAATAATTTTTATTTAGAACATCCTTTACAAACTGTGCTAAAGAACAATCAAGAGAATTGTGTAATCAGAGCGCATCAGTGTCTGGGAGGATATAATTTTTGTTTTACAGGGCACACCTTTATAATAAATAGTTAACTGCACTTCTATACTATATATGAAATGTTTCTTACAATATTGAAATACATATGCTTGATCAGAAGCAATAAATTTAGAGTACTATCTAACATAACTACAAAAATAAACTTCAGACAGCCTTTGAGCCTGATCTGTCCAATAGTGCAGATGGTTTTCCCCAAAAATTAATGAACCAATTTTGAACTTTCTTCCTTTGTAGGCTCAGGCTAACATTCCATGCAAACTGAAGACTGATCGACAACCTTTTGGTTTTCTGGAAAACCTTGCTGCATAACAAACTTTGGATTGTTAGTGCTGCTAGCCAGCTTTTTATTTCTTTCAAATCAAATAATCAACATCCATTCTGAGTAAGAATTGAGATGGGGAAGGATAGAAATAAAGTTATTATTATTATTATTATTATTATTACATTTCTAAAGGTTTTAGAAAGGTCACAGAATGCAGTGTTTCTTCATATAAAATTCAGAATGGGTTAGGTTAGAAGTGTACGCTTCAGCAGATAGTGCTTGTTACAAAGCAGTCACTTCCAACAAATCTTTAGAAACATGCTGATTATTTCTATATCTTGTTTTGTTGCTTTCAAAGTAAGAAATTTGTTAAGGTAGTTTTGTTTGGCCAATAATGAGTAAAAGAAGAACTGTATATGATTTCTGCAAAGATATGAAAATGAACTTGTTTGGTAATTAATTACCAAAGTAGTGAGGTAGTGAGGAATATCTATCAGTTCAGTGCCAGAAAAGGAAATGAATGAAAACAAGCTTGCTTATTTGTAACTGGTTCTTCGAGCAGTCATCTATGAACTTACACAAATGCATTATCTGCATCTGCACAATGCATTTTTGCAAACTTTTAGAGTTATCACATGAATGTTTCAGCGGTAGTTCTACTTACTCCTTGCAAACTAATGTGTTTCCTTCCTAAACCCTAAGTTCCCATGAACCTGAAGTAGCAGTCAAAGATTTAAGGAGTGGCAGGACACAATGAGGGGAGGATTGTGTGAGTTCACAGATGACCACACAAAGAACCACAGTTCCAGGCAAACAACCTCTTCTTTTTTGTGCTCTGTAATTAACATGAATTGATACTAGGAAGCTACTAATCCTAGAAGAAGGGAGCACCATACCGCACCCTCTTGAATACAATCTTTGCTAGAGACCTAGTTTCTACTCTGTAGTGTGAGGTGAATGCCGAAGCCCGAGACCATGTAGCACTCCTACAGACGGTATGCAGGGGTAAACCTCTCAGGAAAATATCCAATGTCATTGTTTTCCTGACTGTGTAAATCTTCTTCACTTGGACAAGAGATCACTTGCTGGCAAATACACAGACCAGGCAAATAGATGCTGCAATGCAATTGGAGAGTTTTTGGAATGAGGTAGGAAGTCTTTTATTCGTTGAATGAATAGAATTCAAAAAACCACCATGATTTCCAGAAAGAGGTTTTGTGGTTAATCTAAAAGGACAGTGCTTCATAGATGTCCAAACGTTGAAGAGTATGTTCCAAATAAGAAACTGGATCCGGAAGTAAGTAAGTATAATATCTTCGTTTAAATGGAAAGCTGATGCAAGCTCCAGGAGGAAGAAAATGTTTGGCTTAAAGACTACATTATTGTCCTTGTGGAATCACAGGTAAGCTTGGTCTGCCCGTTGAGCACAAAGCTCTTTTGCTCTTCTAGCAGATGTGACAGAATTTTCCAGTTAAGTAACCTAATATTATAAGAAGCCACAGCCTCAAATGGCTTTCGAGCTAACCAAGAAATGAGTAATTGCAGATTCTACTGGATAGTAGGCTCCATCAAAAGTGAGTTCATATTCTTGTGTCCTTTCACTAATTTCTTCACCAAAGAATGATGAAACAAGACTTGCAAAGGCAATGAAAATGCCAGAATAATATGCTCTCAAGTAGCACTTAACAGGTAAGAGACAAGCTTTTGCTTGTCAGAGAAACCAAAAAATTGAGGACATGAGTAGTTTGCACCTCATCCAGTGACATTTGCAGACCGGACAAACTCTGTAAACTTAGTCCATTAGTAAGAATAAGATCACTGCATAGGTGGCTTCTAGTCAGCTTCAACTACAACCTGACCTGTTCAAATAATGATGTTTCAAGCCAGTACTCCAGGCTATGAGATGGGAGTGCTTGCAAGCTGGGATGACTTAACTTTTATACCTGTAGATAGTGAGAAACTCTGAACAGAGTGGTAGTTTCTGGGTATTTCACTTTGGAAAGATGAATCAGAGGCAAGCTATGTGACAAAAATGCATCTGGCCCAGTCCTGGCAAATGGTAGCAATCACCCTCTTGGCAAGAGGAAATGGAGGAAAGACAGACACTCCTGGACACCTCCAACTGAACAGGGATTCATTGCCTAGTTATACCAAGACACTCAGTTGTCTGAGAAGATGAAATTCTAATAGCTAAATTTGATCTACCAGTTCCAAAGGAGAACCATAAGGTGTATGCCTCTTTGCTTGTTCAGATAAGAAACCACTGTGGTGTTGTCAGAGACTACCTGAACAACTCTGCCTCACAACATGGTCACAAACATCTTGAAGACCTTGATGACAATCATTATCTTGGGTTCACTGATGTGTAATAATAACCCTTCTCACACAGAATAGTGGTACTTGTCAGGCCTTTCAAATGTACACCCCCCAAACTCTCAGGGATAATTTTGTAGTGACAAACTACAGGCAACTCATGACATGCCTGCTTGCACATTTTAATGATCCATCCACCAACTCAATGAGCAATGTGAAACTGTCACTATTGTTTTTGGAGACTCATCGAGAGGACTGAATTCTATGTGGAATCAAGTTTGCAAGATTCTCGTTTCAAGGCGAAGCCGTGAAACCAGGACCTGAACATCACAAGCATAAGTATTTCTGGTGTGTAGACACCAAAGCATTGCCTTTGAAGAACCTGATTTCTGTCTTCAAGAAATAAGGCTCCTTGGGCCTAAGAATCTAACAAAGTCCTTAGAAACAATACCTGCTGGTATCATTCCAGGTGAAATCCCTTGTGGTTTGGAAAGCAAAGAGTGAGATGAGGCAGACACTTGTATGCATGAGTGATTAAGTTGATTATTAATATAACAAAATAGGATGAAATCCTGTTGACAAAGCTAGCTACTACCACCGCCATATACTTGGTGAACACACGTAGAGCAGTGTACAACTCAGAAAGAGAAATAGGAAAATGAATGACTTCCTTCCACCATCAAAACACAGAAATCTTCCATACTAAAAGATGGTTTGATCATGACATAGAAATTAGCATATTTTAAGTCAAGAGTGGCAAACCAATAGCGTTTCTTCATCAAGGGAAGGATATTATTAAGGGTAACTACCCTGAAACATCCGGGTTGGATGAAGAAATTGGGTGAGATGAAAAAATTGACATCTCTGAGATCCAGAATGACAGTTAGTCATCATTTTCGAACACAAATAAATGAGTTGCTGAACAGTGGAACTCATTGCTTCAGAGTGTCTGTTTCTGTGGCTTTGAAACATAGGCTAGATGACCATCTGTTGAAGGTACTTTGTGCTTTTCTTGCATGATAAAAAGTTGGACTGGAAGGCCCATGTGGTCTCTTCCAACTCTGATTAAATAAGGAGAGAACCTTCAGTGCGGCTGAAAGAGTGGAATAGCTCCTCTTTGAACCTGGATGAGGACATCCATAGATGTTTTACAAAGAATACCTATAGGGATTTCCAATATTCTATGGCATATCCCCTTCTAATAATATCAGGGAACTACAAATCTTAAGTGAAAGAGATTGTGAGTGGGAAAAATTCAAGGAACTCTGATCTATACATCTGAGACTGAGGTTGAAATCCAAACTTTTTGTTGTAGACCTTATATTATGACTGTGTTCCAAGATCTCACTGGTAGCTGAATTAAACAAACCTGCCCAATTGAATTAAAGATCCTCTACAGTCACCTGTGTTGCTGTGTCAAGTGACTGTGAAGATCACAGCTAAGTACTGCCTTAAAGAGGAACTGCTCTAGTAAGACCTTGCCACTATAATCCACTACATGGCAGACAGGTATAATCTGTTGTGCAGCCAAGCAGTGCAATTCAGCCTGTAACATGGCCATAATCCATGTAATAACTCTGGAAGCTTCCAAAGATGCACTACACAGGAACGGATAATCAATATGTGTGCATCACAGATGCCACATAAAACTATTTCATACATGACATGTATAATTAAAGACTTTTTAAAGTATATGTCTAACCATGAGTTTGTGTTCACTGACAATCCACATTTCTCTTCAAAAATGCATGAAACACCACTCTTCTCAAATGACTAATTCTCATTCTTAAGAATAGTTTAGTAAAATAAAAATAAAAGTTACCTTTCTCCCTTGCGCGTCCCCATCCAGCAATGTAACATGGGTATTCAGGTCTAATCAAAACATTTTCAGGTATGCAGATAGGTTGAATATACGCATTGTATCTGATAGGCCTTACAAACGTAAACAAGGCAACATCATTTTCATAGGTCTCCATATTATAACTAGCATGAACTGTTATATTTTTCACCCGGCGCATTATAGTATGAGAGCTGTGTTTATGAAGATGATGCAAGCCAAGCACAACCCTCCAAAGGGCTGGGTTCCTAGGATAGAACAAAATCCCCTATAGAATCAATTATTATTTTTAGAATTGTTACATGAAAAAAATAGAAATGTGAGACTTGTCTCTTGTGTCATGCTGTGTAACACAAATAAACATGAATGCAGAAACAAATCAAATAATGAAAATATAGCAGAAATTTCAACAGATAAAAGCAACGTAGCCAGAATACAGATGTGGCCTGCTGGATCAGACCAAAAGTTCATCTAATTTAGCATCCTCTATCTCACAGGAGCATGTTATATGTCTCCAGGTTTAGTAGCATATAAAGACAATCAGTCTCCCCTGGTAAGACCATATAACAAGAATGAGTAATAGCCCTAAATAGTCTATAAACCACCCTAATTGACTTTTAGAGCTATTCATTTTTAGAGCTATTCAAACTAGCAGCCATCACACTTATAAAAGCAATTGAAAGGTAATTTAAATCAGCAATCCCTGTTTCCCCTGCTTCAAAAGGTTTACCATTGCATAATCTGTAATATGTTGTTCAGTGGGTGTCCTCACACATTACCACAGCCTAAGTCATTCAAACTTGCTAATAAAGTGGTAAACTATGATATGACGCGTTCCAATACAAATCAATTTTTTAAAAACAAATTTTAAATCTTGCTTGCCAAAATAATGCACAAATGCTAAAGCCAGGAATTAAAGAACTGCCCAAGTCATTCTATAATACTTATAGTCATTCTATAATGCTAATAACACTTGGCATACATTTCTTGGATAGCAACAATTCCATATTGTTTATCAATCTTCCTCTGAAACGAAATGAAATTTCACGAGCAGTTTCATGATTTCAGCATGGCTGCCTGCTATTCAAGTTTACAAAAACCAAACCTAACCCTGGGGTATGTCATAACCTGGAAGTGGAAATTCTCTTCTGATCTGCAGTTTGAAATGGGTTAAATTACTTCCGTGCTCTGATACCATCAAAATGGCAACCTTGAATCCACGATACCCTAGCTTTAGTGAAAATTATCCTGCCCCAGATTGACCCTGCCGACATCACTTTCATCTGTTTTAATCTGAATTCAACTTGGTCTTCAAAGCCACATTGTTCCCCACTACTAGAAGTTGTCTGGATACAAAACGGTGTTTCTGGTATGTCACTATCAGATTATTTAAAGTAGTTGTTGTCCATGGAGATGATAAGGGTTGGCGAGACGATATCGAAGGTCTGAGAAAAGATGAAGGGTGTAATTCAAGTTGATGACAATGGAGACTGATGCTGAGAACAAGGGTCAATTTGTCATCCATGCAGCGAGCAAGAGCAACTCCGATATCCACAGGGAGAGTGATTGATGTACTCAGCACAACCGTATTGATGGTATTGACCCATATAAGATGGAGAATAAAAATTGCACAAGGCGGGACGTTATTTTATTAGGTTACAAAAAATTAAAAAATAAACCAGGCATCTACAACAAACCCCAAAGAAACTTTCTCCACCAACTCTAGTACCCTTATCTCCTTGTCTTGGCCTTGACTAGAACTACAATTTCATACTTCATGGTTGAAAGTTCTGACAAATACTCCAGGGACATGCTTAAGAGATGCACCTCCACAATTTATATATACAATTAGCTCTTGGCATTTGCTGTATTAGGAGTACCTAACACAGCAAATGTGAAAAATTGTGAATTTTAAAAAATCTATTTGTTTTACCTGAGAGAACGCCCTTCTAGATCCTCCAGCATGATTCTTTTTCCCCAATATATTCATTTATTTATTATATTTAACTCCAGCAATCTATATTACCACAAAATAATATACATTCAAAAATATAGTAGAGGGAAGGGAGAGAAAAAACAAGAAAAGGAAAAAAAAGATCATTCCACCAACACATAGCTAATACATAATCTCACTATAGTTGGTGAAAGCCATAGCCACGTTATGCATGATTCTATGGTCAATTTTTGCAGGAAGTTCAGCACAGAATCACAGTGGAGGACCTAGAACAGTGGTTCTCAACCTGTGGTCCCCAGGTGTTTTGGCCTACAACTCCCAGAAATCCCAGCCAGTTGACCAGCTGTTAGAATTTCTGGGAGTTGAAGGCCAAAACATCTGGGGACCCACAGGTTGCGAACCACTGACCTAGAAGTTCCTAGAGAGCATTATAATCAAATCCACAAATAAATTAATTAGCAAAATGTGGAGGCTGGCAGTCTTTTACACGCATGCATAAATTTTAATCTACTATGGGATTCTATAATGCTTTTTTGAACACAGATCTTTCTAATGTCTAAAACTGAAAAGGATTTAGAACAAAAAAAAAGATACATACATTGATGATCTTGTGCAGTGTGCTGCTGTCACCACTGTGTTGTTGGTAATTAATGATGCACCACATAGATGGATATATCCTAGGCCAATTTCATAAAGCTGAAGACTAACTTGCCAGGGCCATGCTCCAGGCAAAGCATCATATCCACCTACAATCCGAGGCCCTGTTCCTCGACCAAAAATAGGTCTTATTCCACATTCTAGAAATCAAACACAATTATACCAGTAAAATATGGTATTTTAAGTGTCCCAAAAATATAGCATGCATTTGATAACAACATCACAGTTTCTACAGATACTTAATGTTTAAAACTGACCAGTTTTACATAGCAGATGTCAGTGAATCATCTTCAGTTGGAGAAAGGAAGCAAATCAGAATGCCTCACTGCACTACCCAAGCATTCATTCACTTTATCAGAGAATGATTAGCTGAAACCTTGATAAAATAAATACTCTAGAGACAATTATAGGTTTGAAAATATTTAAATCATCAGTGGGACTTTCATGTATTTCATTCTGGTAACACAATTTGTGTTATCTGGAACAACAAAGATACCTGATACAAGAATAACTTATTTCTCCATAAATTTGCTTTGGATAACAAACATCCTGTGACATGCACATCTTTATAACATATTTGAAGGATAAGTTATAAATGTAAATTATGAACGAAATACAATAATTAATATCGTAACTCTTTTACCAATCATTTTCTTATGCTCACAGTATTGGAACAAACTTGACAGCTCACAAAAGCTTGTACTGTGAGAATCATGAACCACCTTGGGGCTTCTTCAGACAATCCCCGAGCTACAAACATTCAACTTACAAATAACTTCTAGTTAAGAATGGGGGTGAGACAACAGGAACTGAGAGAAATCTACCTCTCGGAAGGAAAATTCAGTCCTGAAAGAGTTATCATGGGGAAAAGGTGTCTCCACTGAAGCTTTACCATCAATCCTTGCTTCCACAACAAGCCAAATTTTTCAAAATCCAAGCATCAAAGGGACAGAAAGTGAGGCGAAATTCTCTGAACAAGACAGCAAAACAAACCCTTTCTTATGCTATCCAACATTTCTCTCTCTCTCTCTCTCACACACACACACGGCTAGTTACATTTTTTAAATGTGCCTGTTCCGACGTACACACAAATTCAACTTAAGAACAAACCTACAGAACCTATCTTGTTCGTAACTTGGGGACTGCCTGTACTTCTTTCTCGTCTCATCCCCTGCATCGATTTTTACATGCCTTCATGTGCATCGGAACTCAGTTCTTGTGTTACAAAACCTAGTTGAAGCTTTGTAAAGTTGGGTTCCAGATGAAGATTAACAATTTTGTGTTGAAAGGGGGTAGGGGTTGATACAACCAAGTAGTATCTCGGATATCACTATGGAACATGATTGGAATGGATTTTGCCAAGGGAGATAAAGACACAGAAGCACACAATGCTCAAGATCAAGATGAGCATGACTAGATCTATCTCAAGACTTTTTAAAATATAATGACTGAAATTTGGGGAAAATATGGTTTTGGTTGACGTATTTTTATTTTACAGTAATTTTATCATCAGATAGATAGATGTCTGATCAAAGTCAGATCAATCTGTACATGGAAGGAGTACTTGTATATAAATTGGTTAATATCAGGCTCGAACAGTAAATAATTAGAAGTGCTTTTAGATTAGAAAAAGATGGGGGTGTCTCACAAAGATTTTTCCCCCAGATTTCTTATTATAAAATAGATTTAGAGAGCTAGGACAAACATTTAATTATATTAGCTGATAAATATTAATAATATGATTTGATAAAATTACTAACATCTTGTTTTTTTATTTAAAAAGAACTAGATGTTTGGCTAAGCTTTGATTTGTACTCTTTGTAGGTAAATGTTATAGAGGATAGTAGCTATATAGAACTGAGGTGTCACTAAGATGATCACAGTTCTGCAAACCGAGCCACGTGATGAACTAGTGTGGGAGTAAGATAGTTTTAGCTTTGAGAAGACTGGCAGGTGACACCGCTATTTTTAAATATCTGAAGGGGTGTCATGTAGGATTGAAATTGCAAGATACAGATTCCACCTAAAATGTAGGGAAAACTCTTTTATTGTATGAGCTGATTGACAATGAGATGGACTGCTTCAAAATGGGATGGACTCTCCATTGTTGAAGGTTTATAAACAGAAGCTGGATGGTCGTCTTTCAGGACTGCTTCAATCGTGTGTCACAGAGTTTACTCATACATGGACTAGATGCTCTTTTGATTCCTTCCAAGTTTAAAATCTTATAATTTTAATAGCATTACATCACACAAGCATTCCTCCAACTTGAGCCCCTTTCAAAAACAGGTCGATGTGCCCAATTAATATGTAATGTGACCCTCCAAAAGCATTTCTCTAAACAGTTTGATGCGGTGTCATCATCTACTTGTGACTAGCAAACCGCTATCCAGAAATTCTTATGATCTAATAAATATGTTGTTTTATAAAACACTGTGATACATTTCCCTCAACATTAATGTTTTATTTTATTTTTTCAGAATACAATAAACATATTCCACCTTTTCTTGCTGTTTCTGGGTGGACACTATAGTGCTCTATTGTAAATCATTTAGAAGTCTATTTTTCTAAAAAATGTTTGTGACTGGTTCAAACAAATCTTGCAAATTTGCAAAAGTCCATAAACATTTATTTACATGAAAAATAATGACCCATGATTAAAATGAGTTTCCCCTGAAAGCAGTGTCTTGCGCCCAATATTGAACTATAACTCCCATCAATGCCAGCTAGTATGGCTACTGCGCTCTATGCCAAGGCTGATGGGAGTCATGGTCCAATCTACAGCATTTGGGGAAGCCTGTACTAATGGGCAAATCTACCCTGCAGAAGTAATGCAAGTCGACACCAATTTTTAATATGGCTCAGTGCTGTGGAATCCTAAAAGTGTTTGTTTGGCGAGGCAAACTAACGAACCTACCTGGGCCCTGAGGTCTTCAGGAGAGGCCCTTCTCTCGGTCTCACCTCGATCTCAAGCTTAGTTGGCGGGAATGAGAAGTCCTTCTATCTCAGTGGCTACCCCTCAACTCTGGAACTCTCTTCTTCCCAGGGAGGGCAGAATGGCCCCCTCCCTGCTGTCCTTCCAGCAGCAGGCTAAAACCTTTTTATTCAGGCAGGCTTTTAAAGATGGTGTTTAAGATGGAATCAGCGGGTGATGTGGTTTTCAATTCTGAATATATTTTGATAAATTTTAACTGATGTTTTTATTTGCTATAAGTTTTCCGGGCTGTATGGCCATGTTCCAGATGCATTCTCTCCTGACATTTCACCTGCATCTATGACAGTCATCATCAGAGATTGTGAGGTTCTCAGAGGTAATGACCTCACTACCTCTGAGGATGCCTGCCATAGATGCAGCCAAATGTCAGGAAAAAATGCTTCTGGAACATGACCATACAGTCCAAAAAACTTACAGCAACCCAGTGATTCCGGCCATGAAAGCCTTCGACAATACATTGATTTGTTAAAATACTGTTTGTGTTTAATTCTATGTTAATGTTTGAATATTTGTATATTTTAATACCAATGCTTTTATGTCAGGCCGCTTTGAGTCCCCTTTGGGATAAACATAGCAATAACAATAACAATAATAATAATAATATGGTGGTCCATGCCTTGGTCACCTCTAGATTGGATTACTGTAATGCGCTCTACGTGGGGCTGCCCTTGAAAACGGCTCGAAAATTCCAACTGGTTCAACGGGTGGCGGCCAGGATGTTAACTGGCGCCCCTTACAGAGAGAGGTCAACCCTCCTGTTTAAGGAGCTCCATTGGCTGCCATTCACCTACCGAACCCAATTCAAGGTGCAGGTGCTTACTTACAAAGCCCTAAACGGTTTGGGACCTGCCTACCTGCGTGACCGCATCTTCGTTTATGAACCCACACGCTCCCTTCGTTCATTCGGAGAGGCCCTGATCACGATCCCACCTGCGTCGCAGGCACGTTTGGTGGGGATGAGGGACAGGGCCTTCTTTGTGGTTGCTTCCCGACTTTGGAACACCCTCCCCAAAGACATTAGACTAGCACCCACGTTGGCAGTCTTTAGGAAGAACTTGAAGACCTGGCTATTCCAATGTGCCTTTCCAGAATAAGATAACCCCCAGCACTATGTCCCAGAAGCACTTTATTAGAATTTAAGACTCTCTGCACATTGCACTTGCCCAGAATTCCAACATACTACCTGTCACACCCAGCACTTTTTTAACCTGTACCCATCACTGGCCTGGCCCTAGTTTTTATTGCGTAATAGTGTAATGTTTGTTATTGTTTATGTTTTTAATTTGCTTTGTATCGTATTGTTATTGTTTGCTGTTGTTGTGTTGAGGCCTTGGCCTTTGTAAGCCGCATCGAGTTCTTCGGGAGATGTTAGCGGGGTACAAATAAAGTTTAATAATAATAAATAATAATAATCAGCTCCCTTTGAGAGAGAAGACTGAAGACTTTGTAAAAACTACAACCTTCAGGATTCTGCAGCACTTCAGACAAAAAATCTATTGGTGAAAAAGATCTCTTTTTGTGTGCAAATACACTACAGAATGAATGCGGTTTGATCCCACTTTATACACAACGCTAGGAAATCAGGGGAGTTGTAGTTTTCCAAAGTCTTTAGACGTCTCTGCCAACCAGGGCTGGGGCCTTGCCAAACTAACTTCAGGGTGCCGTAGCATCGAGCCATGGCAGCTCAAGTGGTGTCAAACTATATGGATTCTGCAGCAGAGACGGACCCTTCCCTCTCCCGCTACCAAGACTACCCTTAGCTGTCCTCTTGGAGTGAATCCCAAGGGCTCCGTTGAAAAGGTGCCCCTCCGGGCGGGCGGGCGGGCGCGCGGGCGAGGCCATTGCCCAGCGCCGCACTTCCCCACGAGCGGCCCGGTCGCGCGCCGAGAGCCTTCCTTCCCACCCCACCCGGGAAGCTTCCTTTCTGCGCAGGCGCGACACCTTCCCCGGCCTTGGCGGCGGCGGGCGGGCTGCCCGGCGTTCGACGATGGAGCTACCCAAGTCAGGCTTCTCCGGCGCCTTCCACCGCTACGCAGCGTCTCGCTTCCCGGGCTCACCCACGGTTGAGTTCTCCTCGAGCTGGGCGTCAGTCAGCAACATATACAGCAGCGCCGGGAGAGAAAAGATAGCGGGGAGAAAGCTCCGCCGCATCGTCTGTCAGCTAAACAAAAATGGCTGCCGGCTTGGCCTTCGTTCCGTCACGCGCGCTTCCCTTTGAGACGTTGGGTGTCACGTGACCACGGTGAGCCGCCAGGTCAAAAAAGGGTTTGCTTCGAAACGTGCAACGAGCGCGTCCTGTACCCCTCACCATTTCCCGCGTGCAACAGCACCTGTGGCGACTCTTGTCCCACCCCAGAGCCTGCGAAGCCTCCCAGCATCCCTTACCACTAGCAGAGCTGGCCAGGGGCTACTGGATATTCTTGTCCTAAAATATCTGGAAAGACACATAATCACAACCACATTATTATTGGGTTGTTGTAGGTTTTTTCGGGCGATATGGCCATGTTCTAGAGGCATTCTCTCCTGACGTTTCGGCTGCATCTATGGCAAGCATCCTCAGAGGTAGTGAGGTCTGTTGGAACTAAGAAAATGGCTACCAGTATTTAAAAAACTCTAAAATTACAACAGCAAAACAACAGAGGGAAAACAATCAGGGACATCTAATCACCTCTCAACAAGATTGCCCCAGGCACTGCCAGACCATCAAATGCTAATCAAGGTGGTCAGTTGAAACATTCACACCTAGCTCCAGCAGACAAGAGTCCTTTGTCCCACCCAGGTCATTTCAGATATATAAACCCATTTTCCTAGTCTTGGACAGCAATGGCTCCCAAAATGACCCATTTAATGTGGAATCAGGTGTCAAACAGGGATGTGTTATTGCCCCAACTTTATTTTCTATCTTCATTGCTATGATACTTCATCTTGTTGACGGGAAGCTTCCCACCGGAGTGGAACAAAAATAAATCTTTGAACAGGTAAGTTACATAAAATACATAGCTATTGGTGAAAATAACATTACATATAGTAAGATTGAGAGGAATTTCCAAGATGATTATTTTGTTATGTTGCAACATACCTAAAAACTTGCCAAACTTTCCTCACTTCCTGGAGATTACCTTATGAGTTGTCACTGTCATTCAAATTAGTCATAAGTGGTTTCTGCTTTCTAGCTAGAAGTATTACTGCAAATAAGCAGTAACGGTTGTTGAAGGCTTTCATGGCTAGAATCACTCAGTTGCTATGAGTTTTCCGGGCTGTATGGCTGTGTTCCAGAAGCATTATCTCCTGACGTTTCGCCCACATCTATGGCAGGTATCCTGTTGGAAACTAGGCAAGCAAGGTTTACATATCTGTGGAATGTCCAGGGTGAGAGAAAGAACTCTTGTCTGCTTGAGGCAAGTGTGAATGTTACAATTGACCACCTTGATTAGTCTTGAATAAATGGCCTTGCAGCTTCAAAGCCTGGCTGGCTCCTGCCTGGGGGAATCCTTTGTTGAGGTGTTAGCTGGACCCTGATTGCTTCCTGTCTGAACTTCCCTTTTTTTTAGTGTTGCTGTTCATTTCCTGTTCTGATTTTAGAGTTTTTTTTTAGTACTGGTAGCCGGATTTTGTTTATTTTCATGGTTTCCCCCTTTCTGTTGAAATTGGCCACATGCTTGTGTATTTCAGTGGCTTCCCTATGTAGTCTGACATACTGGTTGTTAGAGTGGTTCAGTATTTCGGTGTTCTCAAATAATATCTGTGTCCATCAGGTGCTCTGCTATGGCTAACTTCTCTGACTGAATTAGCCTGCAGTGCCTTTCATGTTCCTTGATTCGTGTTTGGGCGTTGCATTTGGTGGTCCCTGAGACCTGATTCCAGCAACTGAGAATGGACAGAGCACTCTACACAAACAGGCAAAGAAGATAAAGGCTACAACCTGTAACTCCCATGTTCCCTTTTGCCATACATAATTACTCCGACTTCTTTGAACCCTATTGTTTGAATATCCGAACTATCTTGTTAACAACGTATCCTGCAGATATAATTTTGTGGATCATGACATGTAAATCTTTGTGTTAAGCTGTTACAATTTGTTATACAAGCAGCAGCATACCAAGCAATTGGTGGTATCAAATCTTCAAAGAGACATAATTCAACTTTTACAAAAACTGTGGATGTACTTTTGGCCAAAGATCTCCAGGATATATGCTCTTCCCCCATCACAACTGTAGACACGTTTCCAGTTAGGAATGAAAGGCAAAGAATGCTGCAGTGGAATTTCAAGAATGTATCTACAAGTCTCTTTTAATGTACTTTTGTGTTTATTAAAATAATAATGAGTGTTGCTAAATAAGCCTCTTTGAAAGAAAAATCAATACATTTAAAAAGCAGTCCAAGATCATTCCAATGCAATGGAAGAAATTTCCTTTTTCTAGTGCAAGGTGGAAAGTTACCCATCCCACAGTCAAAACAATTAGAAAAGGTTGGGTGTTCACAGTGGTAGTTCTGTTAAATACAGCACGGGTATTTATCCATTTTCTGTAATGTGATATGCGTACATAGACTCCTGGAAATTTGGGTCGGCCACAGCCAACCCCATAGCTGGTGATTCCTATCAGGTAAAACCTTTTTTCCTTTGGAAAATAGCACATCAGAGGTCCACCACTGTCTCCCTGGGAAATGAATGAGACAAAGGAGTGATCATTATATTCTGAAGCTTTTGGATACAGAAGGATTTTGACCCAGTAATTCTGACATGACCACGTGAACTGTCCAAACATGTAGATGAATCTAGAATGCCTGAATTAAGAAGTCCTGAATGCTATGAATGCCTCACTGTATCCAGCCTGATAAGTGAACACAGGGTTTTTGTCTTAACATTATCAACAATGTTCTGAAAATTCCACCTGAATGCTAAATACACTTATCATAAAATTCAAGCTACAGATTATTTTTACTATTACAACTGCTGCTGCTTCAAAATTATCAGTTTGGCATGGAACTGAAATAGTACTCCATTAGCTACTACTAAAGGGACATCTATGAAGACACTGTGATGCAGCTTGAAACCTGTTTGGCAGACACCAGTTTTGCTGTGCAGATTATTAGATTGCAATATCAGGAACTGATTCAAGGCCAGAATAGTGATTACACTGAACACAAAACATGTTCACAGTCCACCTCTCTGTAAAGCGCCCCCCCCCCGCCCCCGCTTTCCAGGAGAAATACCTACTAGAGCAATATGAGGTGGGAAAGAAGAGAAAGTGACAATTAAAAGCAGAGGTAATTGATAATTCCTCCCAGGAAATCAATCAGCCCCCTGCTGCCAGCCATGCCCTTGGTTTGTATTTCAGCAGCCCTACTTCTGGATTCTTTAATGCAATGTAGCAGGGGCAGGTAGCTACAATGCCCTCCATATCTTGTGAGCCTGATTTCACCCTGCATCTGGGATATATTCGGACCTGCTGCAACACACTTTATGGCTTGTTTAAGACTTTCCTTCTACTTTTTAAATACACTGTATTCTCTTTAATGCAAGCTGCACGTTGGTGGTGTGTGTTTCGTGGCCACTACAATTTCAAGTCATCTCAAAGCTGCTTTGAATAGTCAGTGTAAATGATCTTCACTTGAGGTGCAACTATACTTGGTGATGACATATAGTGTCAATATGAGAAAACATTTTAATTTTACCATGACCCTTCTGATAATTCATTTCACTACACAAAGTGCTTCAACTAATGTCTATTTCTCAGTCTACTATTCTTGGTTAACTGGTATAAAACATGCTTTAAATGGGAATTTTCTCTATTTTACCTGGCAGCTATCAACCTCTCCATCTTCAGAGCCAGCACACATCATATTCCATGTTACTGTTCCTGCGTACCAATCATATTTGTTACAAACTCTTAGCGGAATAACGTTAACCCGAGCTTCCTGTAATATATATTTTCCTTTGCCTGTAATTAAAGCATAGAATATTACTACTGACATCCACATATTAAAGTAATTCCATAAAAAAAACCTTTACACTGAAATTATGGATAATCAAATGACTCAAGGTACCAAATGTGTAACAACATGGCAATAGCTAGAAAAGTAAGAGTTATAAACTTATTAGATTACACTTGATTATTTGAAATCTCAACTGAACTTTCAAAATACTTTATCAATAATATTCAAGGAAATTAAGCGTACAAATCAATTTTGCCAAGCTGTATTTTATTCAAATCTTACTTTTCTGTATTACGTTCCTCAGATAAGACAAAGCATATCACTTTACACCTGAGAAGAAAAACTGGTGGCATATCTAATCACAGTTTCAAAAAAATGAAAGTAAAGTGATGGTGATAGTAAAGAAGACTTGGCAATTCTATAGTACATGTACAGAAATGTACAGCAGTTTATAGTTATAAATACGAACTTTTGTAGAAAAAGTTTATATTGACATCAAATCCCATCTCTCATGCTAAATTTACTGTAGGCCCACATATTACACAAGTATACGTTGCGTGGTTTCAGTTATACACGAAGACCACCTCTGTGGACAAAAGCCAGGGCCGTTGAAGCCAGTCTGCTCACTATGAGCTCCCTAAAGCAGCCTCCTCTCTGGGTTTCAAATCTGGTGGAAAGCTGGCTGCCTAGACTCTTATACCTTCCTGTTGAGAAAGGGGTCCACATCTTTTCCCCGCATAGAGAAGCTAAGGAGTCTGTTCCCTTTCGTGGTAGACAAAAATCCAGTTGATCTTTAGTTGCTTCTGCTGCTGAGAAAAGAGATGAGGAGAAAGAGCCGTCTCCTGAATTCTCCATTAAATAGCCCCCAGTGTTTCCTCAGAAACATCAGATCCAATATTAATGCCAACCTTTCTTCCTCAAGTAAACATAATTTAGGATTGACTAATGAAGTAGCCAACTCTGAAACTCGCCTAAATGATATTATTACCACCAAAAATGCTACTTTCAAAGATAGTAATGTCAATGATGTTTTAAAAAAATGCCCAGTTAACTTATTCAACACTAGTTTCAAATCCCAACTTGGGAACCCGTGTCTTGCTGAAGAATTCTTCAAAGTTACATTTCTGAGAAATAATTTTATATAAAAACTAGCTTTCCCCTGCCACGCGTTGCTGTGGCCCAGTGTGGTGATCTAGAAAATAAAGTAATGAGAAAATGCTGGTTTCTAATATATGTTATTTCTTTATGCTTGTGGGTAAACAGTATTTCTTGTAGTTTCTTTGTCAGTGTTGATGTAGAGATTGTCTGGTTTGCCTACTCTGAAACATGCAACATATAATTGTCCTTCTTTAGGGGTCCCTTTCAAATCTATTATACTATCAGTCATATTCATATGTGTGTGTGTGTGAATCATATCTATCTATCTGTATCTATGGCTGGATGGCTCTTTGTCAGGAGGGCTTTGATTATCTTTTCTTGCCCTGGTGAAAAGAGTTGGACTGGAAGGCCTTAAGAGTCTTTCTCAACCTGGGGGCTGGGGCCCCTGGGCGGGGTCTCAATGGAGTGTCAGAGGGGTCACCAAAGGTCAGCAGAGAACAGTCTTTTCTGTTGGTCTTGGGAATTCAGTGTGAGAAGTTTGGCCCAATTCTATCACTGGTAGGGTTCAGAATGGTCTTTGATTGTAGGTGAACTATAAATCCCAGTAACTACAACTCCCAAATGTCAAGGTCTATTTTCCCTAAACTCCACCAGTGTTCACGTTTGGGCATATTGAGTATTCGTGCCAAGTTTGGTCTAGAGCTTTCATTGTTTGAGTCCAGTGTTCTCTGGATGCAGGTGAACTACAAATCTCCAAAACTCAAGGTCAATGCCCACCAAACCCTGCCAGTATTTTCTGTTGGTCATGAGAGTTCTGTGTGCCAAGTTTGGTTCAATTCCATCATTGGTGGAGTTCAGAATGCTCTTTGATTGTAGGTGAACTATAAATCCCAGCAACTACAACTCTCAAATGAAAAAATAACCCCCCCCCCCCCAATCCCACCAGTATTCAAATTTGGGTGTAATTGGGTGTTTGTGCCAAATTTGGTCCAATGAATGAAAATACATCCTGTATATTTTCATTATGATTTATAACAGTTGTGAAATGACAGTTATGAAGTAGGAATGAAAATAATGTTATGGTTGGGTGTTACCAGGAGGGGGGGACCGGGAAGGTCAGGGCGTCTCGGTCCAGGCATGTCCCAGAAGGAGGGCAAACCACCTCCACAACATGAGGAAGTATATTAAGGGGTTGCGACATTAGAAACATTATGTGTGTGTATGTATGTGTATATGAATGTATGTGTGTCTGTCTATATGTATATATGTGTATATGTATATATTCATGTTTGCGTGTGTATATGTGTATGAGTATATATGTGTATATATGTGTGTGTGTTATGTATGTGTATGTGTGTATACATGTACGACTTGTCATGAGTGTAGGTATGGGAAATATGAGATCCCTATAAACAGACAGTATATATTTATTTTTAAAGAATGTCTACAGGTATGTGTGGCTGTGTATATTATGTGTGTGTTTATGTTTTGAAGGTGTGTGTATATATTTGTGTGTGTGTCTGTAGCCATATATGTTTGTCTGTGAATCGTTTTCTATATCAATGAGTGGATGGCCCTCTGTTGGGAGGGCTTTGGTTGTGTCTGGCCTGGTAGGAGGGGCTTGGACTGGATGACCCTTCTAAATCTATGGTACCATATATATCTATACTAGCTGTACCCGCCACGCGTTGCTGTGGCCAACCTTCCCTCCCTCTTTCTCTCCTTCTTTCCCTCTTTCCTTCCTTTCTTCTTTTTATTTCCCTATCTCTCATCTTTCTTCCATCTCTACCTGTTTCTTTCCTCCCTTTCTTTGCTCTTTGGTTACATCCTTCCTTCCTTCCTTCTTTCGTTCCTTCTCTCCTTCCCTCTCTTTTTCCTTTCACTTTTTTATTTCCTTCTCTCCTTCCTTGCTTCTCTTTCTTTCTTTCTTTCCCTCCCTGCTTCTCTCCTTCCTTCCTTCCTTCCTTCCCTTTTTCCCTCCTCGTTACTTCTTGACTGTCCCTTCCATTTAATATTGTATTTATCTCTTAGAAAGAAGGAAAGGAAGGAGGAAGGAAGGAGGGACAGGAAGGAAGGAAAAGAAAGGAGAGGCAGGAAGGGAGGGAGGAAGGAGGAAGGAATGAAGAAGGAAAGAAGGAGGAAAGGGAGGAGGGAGGAAAAGAAGGAAAGGAAGGAGGGACAGGAAAAGGAGAAGAAGGAAGGAAGGGAAAAAGGAGGAAGGAAGGAGAGGAGACATGTACTTTTGTACGGAATGAGTGTGAAAGAACGTATTGGTGATGAAGAAAGGACGGAGTTGAAGGAACATGATGGTGAAGGACAATGCAAGTGTACATATTCACTTATTTAGTGGTGTGAAAATAAAGAAGACAGCAAGGAAGCAGGAAGTGGAGTGTACTGACGGCAGGTAAATGAAGGATTGTACGACCTGAGGGGGGATGACCAAGAGAGTAGGTGCATTTCCGAATTAATGTTAAGTAATGATCAATGTGACAGGGATTAAAATTCTTGAAGGAAAGGAAGAAGGAAGGAGGGACAGGAAGGAAGGAAAAGGGGAGGGAGGGAGGAGAAGGAAGGAGGAAGGAAGGAGGGGAAGAAAGGAGGGAGGGAAGGAAATGAAGCAAGGGAAAGAAGGAGGAAAGGGAGGGAGGAAGGAAAAGAAGGAGGGAAAGAAGGAAAGGAAGGAATGAAAGGGAGGAAAGAAGGGAAGGGAGGGAGAGAAGAAAGGTCCTTCATTCAAGCACCGTGGACCTTCCTCCCCCCCCCCCTCCTCACCTTCTTCCTTGCGTGGATGCTCCGTTGCTGCTGCCGTTGCTGCTGCTTTCCCAACAGGCTTGGAGGTGGCGTGGGACGCGGCGGGACTTGGAGTGGGCGGGGATTCAGCGGGGGAAGATGAAGGAGGGGGAGGAGGGATGGTTTTGACAGGGCGGGCTTGGAGGCGGCGTGGGAGGGGTAAGATGAAGGAGGTTCTTGGAGGTGTGTGTGTGTGTGCGGCGGGGGGAGGAGTGAAGGAGCATGGAGGATGGGGGTGTGGCTTGCCCGGAGGGAGCGTTGGCCGGCAGGCCATGTGCGCGCGCCAGGGAACTTGCGGCTGGGTGCCATTGCGCATGCTCAGTTGTTTTGTCGTTTTGTGAGTGTGTTGTTGTGTTGTTTTTTACTTTGATTCGGTTTGTACCTAGTGGGTTGTGGTAGGTGCATGGGAATTTTGGTTAATTTCCGTTGGGGGTTTTTTGAGTCTTGCTGCTCCGTTTAACGCCCAGAACAGATTTATAGATATAGATCTACATACATATATATCTGTATGAATAGTTATTTTTATCTATGGCTGTATGGCCCTTTGTAGGATGGGCTTTGACTGTGTCCTCCTTCCCTGTTGAAGGGGGTTGGATAGTATATGATACTATATCTCCCCATCTCATTCATATAAATCTATATCCTTGTGACAGTCTGAGAATGTAGCAAGTAAATCTCTCTTGTGGGTTGCAACAGCTCCCTAAACATTTGTACCCAACCACTGTTCAGCTATTGATATGAAACAGTAGTAAACGTATGCATGGCAAAGGTTTATGATATATGAGCTCTATAAATTTCTCATTTAACAATAATTTTCTTTAAACTTTAAAAGATGGGTTATTTTTACCTTTCTCCTCTTTGCTTCCCCACCCACTTATGTAGCATGGAGTTTCCTGAGTTATAAAACGAGGAGTATTAGATATGCAGATGGGCTGAATATGGTCACTGAACATGACAGATGTTTGTAGTTTAAACAAGGCAATATCATTGTCATAGAACTCGTCCTTGAAGTTAGAATGGACCAATATAGCTCTGACCAGGCTCTTTACAGTATAAGTGTGATGGTCAAATAGATCATGCAAACCAAGTACAACTCTCCAGAAATTTGGATTCCTAGAAAAAGAATACAAGTGCTTAAAATCAACAATTACTACATTACTTGTTATGTCAGATATTTTGTAAGTCATCATGAACTTCACAATCTACAAAACATTACATATGAAGTTAGACTTAAATCAGATTCAAGAATTTCCTTCAAATAATAAATGTGGGATCTCATCAAGGCAAATGCTTCAATAATACTTATGTATACAGCTTAATGGAAGATGATAATTTTTCCACATGTAAAGTTTATTTATAACCTGAAAGAATTTTTTTCAGAAGCTGGTATATCACTATCAAGAGAGTATCACATTCATGATTGACTGACATCACAAATGCTTAGACCAGGCAACGTGAATCATATTTTATGGCTTTTATTTTCGATTTCTTGAGCAGCAGCTGCTCTTTGTACCATGTAAACCATCCACCTATTTACAATATTATTGTATAATTTATATCCTTCTTTTTCCCAAATGGAGCCCATTTTGGAAGAAACTAAGTGTAGCTGCATAAAACAGTTTATAATGTCATTCATTGTTCAAAATAGTAATAAAAAGATGCATACCACAAAGATAACACAATATTCTTCAGATGCTATGGAAATCACAATTTGTAAAATGAAAGGCAAATTGGAAGCCATAGGTATCTCTTGTGGCAGTAAGGTTCATAGTTTAATTATATGCTAGGTAAAAAGCACTTCCTGTTACTTGTCTTTAATCTGTTTCACCATCCATCTTCAGGTGACCTTGGACTCTAAAATTATGAGACAAGAGGAAAACGTTTCTCCTTATCTTTCTCCTCACCGTGTATAATTTTATATTCATCTCTTCCGTTTCTTTTTACCTTTTTCTAAGCCAGACAGACTCACACACTTTAACAGCACCACAAGCAAACTTTGGGGAATACTAAAGAAATTGTCTTTTCCCTCATTCTGCAACCAAACCTAAGGAACTCACCATCCAGATCTTGAATTGAAACAAATACCAGTACTAAAATCAAGTCTGGAGGTTAAAGGTAGCAACCAGTAGACTTTGTTCTCCACTAACATCTGTCAATTAAATCAAAGAAATGAAGTGGAAGGTGTTCCAGTGATGGTGTAAAATCAACAGGGCCAAAAAATTGAACTTTCATTTCCAGAGGCATATGCCTTGCTACAGTCTGGGATTAATGAGGGTTGCAACAAACAATCAACAAACAAGATGTGCAAGCACCTACTCTGTGTCCCACAAGTGTGCATCCAAGATTGCATTTTTCTGTTACAATGTTACAATCCAGAGTTCCTTCAGAAAGCATTACCGGCCATAAACATTTATAGCCGAGTGATTCTGCTGGACTGTTTGCTGCTATGCCACTTTAGAACACCCATTACTTTTATATTTGAGTGAGTTCATCTATATTAATTATTATAAATGGGGCAAACTTTGTCTCTCTGCAGTCCCTGAGGCAGAGGATCATGTACAAGATTTTATATTGTAATTGGCCCATCTAGCCCTTTTCTTCCTGTTCTACTTCCCTTGCTGCCTTACCATGAAGTATCCTTCGGTTCAGTGAAGAGTGGAGCAGACAGACCCTCTCATCGAAAAGGATGAGCTGTGGATTGTATTTGCATAATTCTCCCAACAATTAGTTAGGAATCCCAATGACATGTCTGTTTTTTCTCTTTGGATTCTAAAGTAGGAAATTAAATTATTTCATTAAATACATTCTGGTTAAGTGCTTATTGTTCTTAGTTTTCTGCAATTTATTCAACTAAAGGAGTCTCTCCTCCTCTAGCTAGGCAAATTTTAAATTGCTTAGAAACCTTCCATAGAAAACTGATTTTTTCCCCCCTGTTGCCATACTCCTCACTGACTGAAGGGATTTCTCCTGGCAAGTCCAACTTTTCCGTTTTCAAACTAATGTTGTCTAACATTTTTTCTTACCACAAACTTGTTTTTACATTCTAAGAATCTCCAGACAAGTGCTTTCTTTGCCTTGGCCTCTACATCTTACACAGAGTATCTGGTTACTCACTTTCTCTTTCCTCCATTCATTTCAGTTTTACCCAAGTGTTGTTTATCCCTAGCAATAACTGACTTCTGACTACGTAAGAGCATTGTCTGTATACACAGGAATCATTTATATTCAGGTTTTACCCATGTAAAAGATAAAAGATAACAGATACTACAAACAACAAGTTTTCTCTCCGATAGGCTTAGCATGGGTGTGAAGTCTCGGCCTAGTATTTATTTCCCTGTTTGCCTGTGGACTGTTCCATTTTGATAAGTTTAGGGGAGAAGCTTAGGTTCCCCCTAGAGGCCAAGCTCGGTTGGTGCAGCCCATTCTGACTCAGAGCCAGAATGGGCTGGTGAAAGAATCTTTTTTCCCATTCTTTTCGGACAATAGCTTATAGTTGGTTGCCAGAAAGTGTCTGGTCTGGCTTGCAGTCCGAACAGGCCATCCTTAGCACATACATGCCCCAGAGTTCATAGACAATACATGCTTCATAGTATAGTTATACATGCCATAGTCTATAGTCATACATCCCCCATAGTTATAGTCATATTTACCTCATAGAAATTATAGTTGTTTTTTACCTCAGAGTTATACCATCATAATCAAACTGCACCTCTGTATACCTTGTTTGATTCATCGTGATTGTTTAGTAAACTTAATTGGTTGAATTTAGTCTTCTCTGTAGAGTTTTATTTTGGGGGAATTACAGTACTTATAGGGCATACCGATGGTCACTGGGAAAATAGCCAAACACATTTAGTTTTCTCATTAGATCTTCCTGGTGTGCCATCATAATGGGGCAATAAACATTGAGTAGGAAAGAGCTGATTGTCATATATCTAAAAATACTGAATATGTATAAATGTCCAAACTAAAAACCTTTTAATAAAATAATTTTATTTCACCAAAATGTATAGAAAAGTTTCAGAACTAAAAGAAACTTACCCCCATTTTATTATACAGTGTGCTGCTGTCAGCACAGAATTATTGTTAATCAAAGATCCACCACAAACATGGTGATATCCAGTACCAAAGCGGTAAACCTGAAGACTAACTTGCCATGGCCATGCTCCAATTTGAGCATCATGGCCACCTACAATCCGAGGCTTTGTTTGCGATCCCACAGCAGGGCGTAATCCACATTCTAGAAACAAAAAGACATATCTATGAGATGAAATTGTTGTAAGGATTTGAAAAAACAGAGCCTTTATTCAACAACATACTTTAAACTAAGTCCTAGAAACCATTATTTCAGACTTACCAATTTGTCACAACAATTCTGTTCCTAGACTGTTTTCTCCTGGAGAGATTACACAAGCCTAACAAAATCTATACATGTATGAATCATTATCAGAAACTGATCTGAAAGCATAATCTGGCCTGTTTGACTCATGGTTAAGATCATATGATTTATTGTTAAATAATAGCTTGACTTTAAACATATAGAATAATCAATAAACTTTGCACATACAGTACTTACAAATTTATATGGCAGCACTGGTTAAGAGGGCCCAGCAGAGAGTGTATTATCTGAACTTATTTATTTATTATTATTTACTTTATTTGTATACCGCTGTTCTCAGCCCTTAGGCGACTCACAGCGGTTACTTCACTTCTAAAGAACCAACAACTGAATAAAAAACTGATGACTTTCTACCGCTGTGCTATAGTGTCCTAACTTACTGAATGTGTGAATGGTTTGGTAACTGCACTCCAATGGGTTACCATTACTCCTCAGAGAATCACTGGTTGCCCTCTCCCCTCTTTGTAAGAACTTGCAGCCCTAAGAAAGCTCAGAACATTATTAAGGATCCACCTAACCCAACTTTTTTTTTAAAAAAAATTATTACCATCTGGCAGATGGTACATGATGACAAAGACAAGGACAAATAGACTGAGAGATAGCTTTTATCCTAGGGCTGTAACTATATTTAACTCCATGGTTTCACATTGATGTATCATGGGGGGCTGTGCGGTGGTGGTTGGAATGTGGAGGATTTGGTGTGTTGTTTTTGTGATATGTGCTAGCAAAAGCATTTAATTTTGTTGTACAATGACAATAAAATTATTCTATTCTATACCTCAATTGTGCATGTTCTTTTGAGCCTCAAAACATATATGGTAACAGTAAATGTTAACTACTCGCAAGTAAATGTGTTCCTAAATACACAGCCTTGAATTAGGTATAAAAACAATGCATGCATGTGTTGTCCCAAAAGCCATTGTTTAAGGCAGTGGTTCTGTCTGCTCCGCGGAGCTCTTGTCCGTGAGGCATACTGAGGGGCTCTGTACTTTCCTCCACCTCCTCCTGCTCCAAGGGTACACGCTGCTACCACCATGCTGCTTTCCTCCTTCCTCCTCTTTCCTTCTCCTGCTCCTTCCTTGAGGTCCAAATTCTCCCCAAGGCTCAACATATGACAGAAGCCCTGGGGAAGCCCTGTTCCCACCAGTGCCAGGCAGGGTCCTGCGCCATCATGCAGTGGGCATCGAGGGGCACCAGGGCCCACTCGCCTTCCTCCGTCCTTTTAGTCCTCCCTCTGGATGCAAGGAGGGTACTTCTGCTCCCAGGAGTAGGAGGAATGAGGCTTTGCAATCCAGGCTGGGCTTTGCAAGGAGCGACCAGGTCCAGGCACCGAGCAGCGCACCCCAGGACCAGCCCACCTTCCTTCCTTTCTTCCCTCTGGCCTGGAAGGAGGGAGAGATGGAAGGAAGGAGGGAGCAAGGAAGGTTCATATTATTGTTATTATGACAAAGGCTAGATGGCTGTCTGTTGGGGTGGGTTGCTTGTGCTTGTACTGCATGGCAGAAGGGAGTTGGACTGGATGGCCCCTGGGGTCTTCCACTTAAATGTTATTAAGTTTATATTGGTTAAAACTGTTCTACATTGTAAATATTGCATTGTTCTTTCTCTTTTCCACTACAAACGAGATATGTGCAACATGCATAGGAATTTTTTCATTTTTTCCCAACTAGTTAACACACTCTTCATCCATCTGCCTCTGACCCAGCCCATTTGACAGATTTTAAAGCGCAATGCTGCCCGTGTGCCCAAAAGTTTGCCCATACCTGATATATGGGCCTCCTGGTGGCGCAGTGGGTTAAACCACGGAGATGCTGAATTTGCTGACGAAAAGGTCGGTGTTCGAATCTGGGGAGCGGGGTGAGTGCCTTTTGTTAGCCCCAGCTTCTGCCAAGCTAGTAGTTTGAAAACATGCAAATATGAGATTAATAGGTACCTCTTCTGCAGGAAGGTAACAGCACTCCAAGCAGTCATGCTGGACCCATGAGCTTGGAGACACCTACAGACAACACTGGCTCTTCAGCTTAGAAATACGCACACACACACAAACACACACATTTCTTGGGGATCCACAAGAAACTTTTGCTTCAAAAAGATTCTGCAGCTGAAAAAGTTTGAGAACCTCTGATTTAAGGACTCATCTTCTTAATATGTTGTTGAAGGCTTTCATGGCCGGAATCACTGGGATGCTGTGAGTTTTCCAGGCTGTATGGCCATGTTCCAAAAGCATTCTTTCCTGACATTTCATCCACATCTATCCTCAGAGGTTGAGGAATCTGTTGGAAACTAGGCAAGTGAGGTTTATATATCTGTGGAATGTCCAGGTTGGGAGAACGAACTCTTGTCTGCTTGAGGCAGGTGTGAACGTTACGAATGACCACCTTGATTAGCATTTAATGGACCTAGCAACTTCAATGCCTGGCTGGTCGCTGCCTGGGGGAACCTCCCTAGAGTTCTCCACCACTGGCAGCCAGATTCTGCCCACCCTCATCGTCTCCTTTCTGTTGAAATTGTCCACATTTATGGATTTCAATGGCCTCTCTGTGTAGTCCAACATGGTAAGTGCCAGACTACTGGTGCAGACACATCTAAGCCAGTTTACATGTAATATTCCTGGCTTTATAAACAAATAAGTTACAGATCTGCACACCCCTCTTACCTTTTTGTTTCTTTCTTATGAACGTTTCTTTGTTCTGTGCAAAATAAGGAAACCAGTTTACTATCAATTTACTAACCAAAATATTGAGTCCATCCTAATATTATTATTTTTTGTCGTGTCAGGAGCAAGTCGCTTCTGGTGTGAGAGAATTGGCCGTCTGCAAGGACATTGCCCAGGGGACGCCCTGATGATTTGATGTTTTTATCATCCTTGTGGGAAGCTTCTCTCATGTCCCCGCATGAAGAGCTGGAGCTGATAGAGGGAGCTCATCCGCCTCTCCCCAGATTCGAACCTGCGACCTGTCGGTCTTCAGTCCTGCCGGTACAGGGGTTTAACCCACTGCGCCACCGGGGGCTCCTAATATTGAAACAAAAGGACTTCACTCGGATCACGAGATCCTTGTGTTAAAAGACAATACAAAAATAAAAGGAAAAGTAAGTAAAATTTAACTCGGGATCCCTCGGAAACCAAGAGGATGAAAAATGAAGTGGGTTTACCAGCAATGTTGTACAGGGCAAAAAGTCAACACTTTCAATGTTACAAATTAAGAGGAGTGTGGATGGTGCTCATCTGGAAATGGGAGACGACAGGGCACGTCCAAGAACACACTCCTCTAGTGATGCCACTCCTTGGGGTCGTTTCAGTTTAACGCATTTAAAGTCGTGGCTTCCAAATTTTGGTCCCCCAGATATTTCCAGAACATTTGTTGACTAAGGCCCCTTCTACACTGCCATATAATCCAGATTATCCAGGCAATCTCTGATTTGAACTGGATTATCTGAGTCTACCCTGCCGTATAATCCAGTTCAAAGCAAATAATCTGGATTTTATGACAGCGTGGATGGGGCCTAATTCAGTGATAGTTTCTGAAGTCCAAAACACACGGGTGCTCAAAGTTTGGGAATCAGGCGGGTTCCGACCGCAAATCGGGAAAAAATGGAATGTAAAGTTCCGCCGGCGCGCTTCTTCGCCTGCGCAGGCACACTTCTTCCTTCCCGCCGCGGAGGCGGGCTAATAAACAACGAGGCCAAGAATGGGCCTACTCCTTCGACGCCTGCCGCCGGGCCCACCTGTTGAAGTCTGTGGTAACTGCAATGCCTTGCTCAGCATTACCAGCGCCCAAAACGAAGCGGCCGCGACGCCAAGGTCCCTGCTCATTCTCCCTCGGAGGAGACACGCGTGAATGTAGGCCCGCGCCTCCTCCCTCTCCCGCGCGCCCTCCCTCTCTCTCTCTCCCTCCGCCGAGGGACGGAAAGGCCGTTGGGTGTCACGTGACGGGAGCTCGAGCGAGTTGGCACGGGGCTTCGTCTCGTGCCGCCCTGCCATACGTCACGATTGGAACGCTCGCGTGCCTCCCCCGGCCAAGAGGAAGGAAGCGCTGATGCCCCCTTGGCCTCCCCTGCGTGGAGGAGAGTTTCCCGTTTAGGTATTCCATAACTGCCCTCGTCGACGGCTGCCTTTAGAAGTTCCTTTCGGGACATAAAACATTCATGTTGTAATGTTTTTTTTATATTTTTAGGTTTTCCATTGTATTGGTTTTACTCTTTTAAGGGTCTGGAAAACAAGCCCTATGAGGAGCGGCTTCAAGAGCTGGGTATGTTTAACCTGCAGAAGAGAAGGCTGAGAGGAGACATGATGGCCATGTATAAATATGTGAGGGGAAATCATAGGGAGGAGGGTTGTTTTCTGCTGCCCTGGGGACTAGGACGCAGAACAATGGCTTCAAACAAGAGGAAAGAAGATTCCATCTGAATATTTGGAAGAACTGCCTAACTGTTCAGCAGTGGAACTCTCTACCCTGGAGTGTGGTGGAGGCTTTTAAGCAAAGGCTGGATGGCCATTGGTTGGGGTGCTTTGAATACGGTTTTCCTGCTTTCCTGCTTCTTGGACTGGATGGCCCAAAAGGCCTCTTCCAACTTTATGATTCTATGATTAAGCTGCTTTTGAGTCCCCTTTTTAGAAGGAACCCGCAGGATACAAATAGTAATGATAATTTTAAATGTAGGTAAAGGTAAAGGTTGTCCCCTGACATTAAGTCCAGTCATGTCTGACTCTGGGGGTTGGTGCTCATCTCCATTTCTAAGCCGAAGAGCCGGCGTTGTCCATAGACACCTCCAAGGTCATGTGGCCTGCATGACCGCATGGAGCGCCGTTACCTTCCCGCTGGAGCGGTACCTATTGATCTATTCACATTTGCATGTTTTCGAACTGCTAGGTTGGCAGAAGCTAGGGCTGACAGCGGAAGCTCACACAGCTCCCTGGAATCGAACCTGCGACCTTTTGGTCAACAAGCTCAGCAGCTCAGTGCTTTAACCCACTGTGCCACCGGGGGCCCCCCATAATTTTAAATGTAGGGGTTGTCAAATTTTGAAATGCTTGTATTTGCTTGTATGTATGTAGCTCAGAGATGGGACACAACATTCATTTATGTTTCATCCACACCTTCTGCACATATTCTGAAAGTAATTTAACACACAGCACTTTTAAAATAATTATGTGCTTGAAACAAAGTTTTTTCTACATTGAACCATCAAAAAGGAAAAGTCTTTCCAACCCAACCAACCTCTGGGGAAGTTTTGGGGCATATACCTCTGGAAGGCTCCAAAATGAAAGAAAAACAGAGCTCTCACTTGGTCCTCATTTCTGTATGATTGAGCAGATGCCACCTGAATGCAACTTTATGTTAAAAATAATACAGTTTATTTTTTAAATCATTCTTTCTTTTTAGTCTGCTTTGATGATAAAATAATTTAGAATGCAAACACACATATAACTGAACAATGCCTTTCCATTTACATTTTAAAATAATGACTGACATTTATTTGTGAATTTCTGTGGATAAAATAAAAGATTATAAACCCTACCACATTGTAAAATAATATTTTGAACAATGTTTTAAAAGGGCATGCTTAAAAACTAGCCTGAGATCACTTTAGAATAATGGAAAGCAACCCATAACACAGTGAGAAAGATAAGCAAATGGTGACTGCCCAGAGTGGTGGTTCTGTTTTGAAGCGTTGAATCTAGCCAATCGGTGTACTTGGCTAAACGTACATAAATTCCTGGACTCCTAGGTCGTCCACAACCATATCCATAACTTGTGATTCCTATCACATAATACTTGTCCTCATTTGGGAAGTAGCACATCAGAGGTCCACCACTGTCTCCCTGCAAAATGAAGAAAACAATCTGGGTGCCGTGCATTATATTCTGTAGGTTTACTATGCAGAGAGTTGACAGTATCGAAGAAATACTGCATATTGCATCTACAAAGCTGTTTTTTAATACAATAAAACTGGCTAGATCTACATATTATAATATTATAATAATATTATAATTATACATATTATAATATTATAATAATAGATATATTACTGCACACCACACTATTTTAATCCTATGTTCCTCCTGCCACTCCAGCACTTTTAACCCTGTACCCCATTGCGCTGGCCGGCCCAGTTTTAAAGTGTCTTGATGTATTGTTACTGTTGTTTGTTATTTTGCTTAACTATTTGATTTGCTTTGTTTACTATTGTTGCGTTATGTTTTACTGTATTGTGTTTCTGAGACTTCGGCCTGTGTAAGCCGCATCGAGTCCTTCGGGAGATGCTAGCGGGGTACAAATAAAGTTAATAATAATAATAATAATACACAGCCGTATAGGTCCGTGTAGATTCATATGTCAGTCAATTGAGTTGAACTGCATTGCATGGGTCTACACTGACCACATAATGCAGTTCTAAACTATATAGAAGTGTAGATCCATCTTGTGTTACATTAACTTTGTCTTTATTTGTCTTAGTTTGCTTTCAATTACCAAATTTCAATATGAATCAAGTCAGTGCAGAATTTATGGTATATGGGATATAGTACTGCGTTAGTTAGACCTATTTTTAATCATAACTCTCAAAAATCCAGAAACTACATTTATGCAGCATCTACCAATCCCCATGGATGCCAGTTAATTGAGAGTCTACTGTACTTGGTAGGTCATATCAACTGAGCCTCCTGTTCTGGTGCATGTATGCCAGGAGCATTAACCAGGGTTCTTGTTTAGTGTCAGGGACGGATGAGTCAGCAGCCACATTTCAAATAATATAGTAAGCATTCCATATTTGTTTAATTCAGTATACACTTCCAGGACTAAATCAGGTGTGATCAAGTGTTGCACAATAACACATGCCTTTTAAAGCCAAAACTCTGGCTTCCCCTTGTGTGAGAGTATTATCATTGTAATATAATAATATGTGTTATCATTCTTATGATTCATAAAGCATTGAGAGAAAATTACAGAGGAATCCAGAAAGCCCTTTATTGGCAATCTTGCATTGTTTGAATTGTACTACGTACAAGTAGGTATCATGCATAAATCTTACCAAAACATTTGTATAATTCTCAGTTGGAATTTTGCCATATATCTCAAATATATATTTTACATATAAAATTATGAGATTTTTAATTTTAATTTCTCTTCCCCCAATTTCTTCTTTGTTCTGATGCCACTGTGATTTATTACTGGATAATAAAGCTCTAGGGTATAAGATAAACCTATTTAGCAATTTGTTTTGAAATAAATCTGTCTTCACTTTACCTGGCAGGTATCAACATTTCCGCTTTCAGAACCAGCACAAACACTATTTTTTGATATAGTTCCCATATACCAACTTCCACTATTACAGATTTTTAGTGGGAAAAGTTTTACTTGAGCTTCTTGTAATATATAAGATGCTGAACCTGTAAGAAAAACATAAAACACTGCTGTAAGTATGTTTCCATATAAAAATATGCTGATTTTTCATGAGTCTATATTACTTGTACTGTTTGATCGAGTATAACTCTCTTAAGTCTAATAGATTCTACATGCATTTCAGAAGACAGACATGCCTCTGACAAAGAAACCCAATCCCTCTTTTCTGCCTTGTCCTCTGTCTAGCTGGAAGATTTTAATATCTTTGGCATTGTGGTGGGGACGCTGAAAGCAAGCAGGATAAAAGATTTTTACTATCAATGCAATACAGTTTAAGCAATACAGTTTAAGCTTGGAAATAATGGGATTACATTCTAACTGATCCTCATGCAGCTGTGTCTATCTGAATACAATATGGGAAAACATTGGTTTGGTCCTTCTTAATAAAGTAAGAAGCCATTGGGTATAGGCTTCTCTGAATATTTGCTACCACTGATTTATCCCAAGAGACACCAGTAATTCACTGCCTAGCAAAGCTAATGAGGGAAAAACATTTTAACCATATGACTTAGATCCTTAGATAGATAGATAGATAGATAGATAGATAGATAGATAGATAGATAGATAGATAGATAGAAGTATAAAGTATAACACAATAAACAGGAGTATTGTCAGGTACCCTCAGAAGAGAACCACAAGTGTCTGTAACTCCCTGAAAAATGTGTGCTCACGGACATGTGTTCTTGAGTTTCTCTGTATATAATGTGTGGATGAACTCTAGATAATATACTCACAAAATATAATAGTTCTGATCTTACTAGGTTTATAAATCTAATCATCGTTCTCAGTAAGTTTTAATAGAAAAATCAATGACTTACCATTCTCCCTTGTCATTCCCCATCCACTTATGAAACAGGGAGTCTCATCGGTCAAGAGATGAGAAGAGTTATATATGCAGATGGGCTGAACATAGTCATTGTATTTGACAGGCCTGCTTAGTTTAAACAAAGCAAGATCATTCTCCTGGGTTATTTTGTTGAAGTCATGGTGTCTCAGGATAGCCTCAATCTGTCTGATTATAGTATAATTTGTCTTCATATAAAGGTGATGGAGACCAAATACAGCCCTCCACCTCCCTGGATTCCTAGGGCAGAAAAAATTCCCGTGAGGAATCAAAGATTTTGAGAAGTAAAAACCAACACAAGAAAGAAAGCATTTGTATCTAAAGATACTCAATAACCCATCAAATATGTGGTGCATTGCAGATCATCCAAACATAATGTTCATGGTACTGCAATGACTTATGAGCAACCATGAAGATTGCAAACAATTTGGGAGGGATGTGTATAAAAAATCTCATGCCTTTTATCTTTCCTATTCCTAAAACCACTCTTGGCTTAAAATATCTCATTCTAGAACAGGGGTCCTCAAACTAAGGCCCAAGGGCCGAATACGGCCCTCCAAGGTAATTTACCCGGCCCTCACCCAGGGTCAACCTAAGTCTGAAACAACTTGAAAGCACATAACAACAATCCTATCTCATCAGGCAAAAGCAGGCCCACACTTCCCACTGAAATACTAATAAGTTTATATTTGTTTAAATTGTTCTTCCTTTTAATTATTAGATTGTTTTAAAAGTGTTTTTTGCCCTGCAAATAAGATATGTGCAGTGTGCATAGGAATTCATTAGTGCTTTTTTCAAATTATAATCTGATCCTCCGACAGTTTGAGAGACTGTAACCTGGCCCTCTGTTTAAAAATTTTGGGGACCCCTGCTCTAGAGCAAATTTCTAGAAATTAAAAAGTAATGGTAAAGGTTTTCCTTTGCCATTAAGTCTAATCGTGTCTGACTAGGGGGTGGTGCTCATCTCCATTTATAAACCGAAGAGCCGGCATTGTCCATGGACGCCTCAAAGGTCATGTGGCCAGCATGACTGCATTGAGCGCCATTACCTTCCCGCTGGAGTGGTACCTGTTGATCTCACATTTGCATGTTTTCGAACTGTCAGATTGGCAGAAACGGCCTAACAGCGGGAGCTCGCCCTGTTCTCCAGATTCAAACAGCCAACCTTTTGGTCAGCAAGTTCAGCAGCTTAGTGGCAGGTAAAGAATAATGCCTTTTGCACTAAAGCAAGGCCTTTGAAAGTTCAGAAAATCTTTTATCACATGAGGCAAGGATGGAAAAGAGTTACGTACAAGACCTTTACTGTGCAGTGTCCAGCTGACAGCACATAGGCCTCATTGATTAAACTTCCACCACAGAGGTGAAGATATCCTCTACTCCTGTGGTGAATCTGAAGACTAACTTGCCATGGCCATGCGCCGGCCTGAGCATTGCGACCACCAATAATACGCATGCCAGTTGCCGGCTCATTCACTACCTTCCTTCTTCCGCATTCTAGGAGGAAAAAAAGTTTCCATGAGATGTAAGCTTTGCACATTATAAAATCATCACCATCATAGGCTATCACTCATGGCTGAGTACAATTATCTTCCAAGCATAGTAGTCTTGGCGGTGAGTCTGCAAATGACTAAAGACTGGGTTGTTGTAGGTTTTTCGGGCTATATGACCATGTTCTAGAGGCATTCTCTACTGATGTTTTGCTTGCATCTATGGCAGGCAAGCATCCTCAAAGGTAGTCAGGTCTGTTGGAGCTAGGAAAATTGGGTTTCTATATCTGTGCTGTAAAGAGCTTTTTAAATACAGAGCTCCTGAAATAACATTGAGAAGTTTCCCAGTCGTGGGGACATTTCAGCCTCTTTTCAAGCATGGAGGGGCCCAGAGCTCATTGCATGTTCCAGGGTTGAAAAAGAGGCAGAAATGTCCTGAAAGGACAGGCAGGCAAGCGTGTTCAGAGCTCCTGCCTGTTATCACACTTTACTCCCATGTTTACAACTGAAAAACAGGTGGGATGGGAACCATAAAGAGTTTCCCCATCCTGTTTCATTGCCCAGCAGCAGTAGTCTCTTTTATCCTATGGGGTTTGATGCAGAACCATATGGAAAGAAATTGTTTTAACCTGGAGCACTGTCTTTTGTATCCTATGGGGTGTGGTGCAGAATTTTGTGATCCCATGGAAAGAAGGGGTTTCAAACTGGTGTCAGTCTCCTTTAATGTAAGTGGCTTTGGGTAGGGCGAGGGATCTCTTGGTTTTCAGATATTGTTTCTCCTGAATTTTTAAAAAAGTAATACTAACCGTGTGATGAATGTAAAAGATGAATGTATTGCCAGCTCTTAAATTTCTAGGTGTGAGTCTGATGGGGAGGTAGAACTCGAAAGCGGACTGCTGACGCTATAAGAGGGGTGATTCTCTACTCTTAAAGGGATGGTCACCCATGCTTTCCACTCAATGTGATGACGTCTTTGACTGTAAACTGTGCAATTCCATTCAAGTCTACTCAGAAATAACCCCAATTAGGTTAAATAGGATTAACTTCCACCTGTATGCACTTGACTGCAGCTTAAAGATAATGATGCTTTTAATATATGTTAAAAAGGTAAAGGTTTCCCCTGGCATTAAGTCAAGTTGTGTCCAGCTCTGGGGGTTGGTAGGTAAAGGTAAAGGTAGTCCCCTGACATTAAGTCCAGTCATGTCTGACTCTGTGGGTTGGTGCTCATCTCCATTTCTAAGCCGAAGAGCCAGCATTGTCCATAGACGACTCCAAGGCCACCTGGCCAGTATGACTGCATGGGTGCTGTTACCTTCCAGCACAAATGGTACCTATTGATCAACTCACATTTGCATGTTAGACTGCTAGGATGGCAAAAGCTGGGGCTAACAGCGGGAGCTCATCCTGCTCCCCAGATTCAAACCGCCGACCTTTCGGTCAGCAAGTTCAGTAGTTCAGCATTTTAACCTGCTGCGCCACCAGGGGGCTAATATATATTAAGTAAAGGTAAAGGTTTTCCCCTGACATTAAGTCCAGCCGTGTCCAACTCTGGGGGTTGGTGCTCATCTCCATTTCTTGTCTATAGATGGCTCTAAGGCCATGTGGCTGGCATGACTGCATGGGTGCTGCGACCTTCCTGCAGAAGCGGTACCTATTGATCTACTCACATTGGCATGTTCGACTGCTAAGTTGGCAAAAGCTGAGGCTAACAGCAAGAGCTCATCCTGCTCCCCGGATTCAAACCGCTGACCTTTTGGTCAGCAAGTTCAGCAGCTCGATGTTAGTCACCACAGGGCTATATATTCGGAACCAACCCAAGTGATTGGGGCCATGGGAAGCAAGACCATGGGAAGCAAGACCATGCACCATGAGAGCTCGATAAAGGGTATCCTCACACTTCCAGAGAAAGAAGCTCAAGGGCAACTTGGGTCACATCTAGGTTGTAGAATTGGTCGGGTTTGATTCCACTTTAGCTGCCAGGGCTCAATGATACGGAACTTTGGGGTTTGTAGTTTGTAGTCTCTCTTTGGTAGAGAGAAGGCGAAAGGCCTTGTGAAACTACAACTCCCAGGATTTACATAGCCCTGAACTGCGCCGGTTAAAGGGGTTTCAGGCTGCATTAAGTCTACTGAGCGAGTGCACTTTTAAACCGAAGGATTCCCTGTTTTATACTCCAGCTCCCAGGTGCCTTGGACAGCTTGGGAGCTGAAGTCCAAAAAACCAGGCGGATTACAGTTGGGACGCCAGTCTTCTAGGGTGAAACACAGAGGCTCCTTTCTTGGAGGTTTTTAAAGAGGCTGGACGACCATCTATCGGGGGTGCTTTGAATGCGATTTTCCTGCTTCTTGGCAGGGGGTTGGGCTGGATGGCCCGCGAGGTCTCTTCCAACTCTAGGATTCTACCTATGAGGAGGACAAAGTACTCTGATCTCAACCAGAGGGGTCTTTGTCTTCTAACCACCATCTCAGACGACACCTTGACCCCTGAACGGGCCCTCCAGCGCGAGGGCACTGGGTCCCGGGGGCGGGGCTCCCTCACCCTCTGGGAGATTTCCCGTGGACAGGAGGGTGGGCGGGGCTTCCGCCAGGAACGTCATCAGCGCCAGGAGGGTGCCGCGCCACCCCGGCATCTTCCGCCCGCCAAGCAACATGGCGCCCGAGCGGAGGGGCTTCTCTTCCCCGAAGAACGGGCCGAACGGAGAGGCCTTCCATGCAGGGAACGCCTGGCCTGGCCTGGCCTTTCTGGCGGGGCGTTGAAGCGTTTGCCAGTCCCTTCCTCTGCAAGATCGCCTCCAGCACCCGGGACCCTTGGGCAGTCTCCCTTCCACGTCCAAACTAGGGCTGACTCGGCTTAGCGTCCAAGATCAGGATGAGGAAAAGCGCCAAAGTGACGGAAGAAGCAGGGAATCTGCGAGGAGGGCGGCATTGGGAAATGAGGCACAGGCCACCTCCAGCAGGTTCCATCTATCTGGTTTGGAAGGGCGATTATTTTTGTGCTTTGAGGTCAAAAGTAGTTTTGATCCAGAGTTTTAAGCCCTGCCTCAGAGATTTGGAAACTTTAAACATGGCTTCAACTTTAAACGATGCTGTGACTGTGCCATAAAGCAGGCACCCTCCAACTGCGGCCCGTCAGCTGTTTGGGCCTCCAACTCCCAGAAGCCCTAACGAGCTTGTTCAATTGTCAGGAATTCTGGGAGTTGAAGGCCCAAACAGCTGGAAGGCCGCAGTTGGAGGGTGCCTGCCATAAAGTGTTAGAATGAGTCACAGTAATAAATGAGTGACAATGAAACGGATATTTGCAAGGGCCTAGCCCAAGCATGGGCCAACTTCGGCCCTCCAGGGGTTTTGGACTTCAACTCCCACAATTCCCAACAGCCTGAAGTCCAAAACACCTGCAGGGCCGAAGTTGACCCATGCCTGGACTAGCATCTCGCCCCACACACAAAGTAGAGCTGTCAGTAACTCAGAACAAATACCCTGCCAGATTATATACCAGTGGATCCCAACCTTTTCTTGACCAGAGACTACTCCCCAACATTAGTACCAAAAGGGTTATGAATCAGTTTTTGGGCAACACACATTTTTTTAGATTTACAAACTTTACTACTGTTTTGGAAAAATAAAATATGTTTCATTTGCTTTAAAAGCAACAAGAGAAAAATAATGTATAAAAATCAAACTTTTTAGTACAGTGCCAATCCTGCAATACTGTGGATGTACTTACGGCTCAAGACAAATTAATTTCCTTCCAAGATGGTTAATTCTTAAGTAAAAAAATTGGAGACAATTCCAATCATATTTGAATCCATGTGTTTTATTTGCATATGTTTTTATGAACATTCAGTTCAGTATGATTTCTTAAATATTGTAAAAAAGCATGGCATTAGTATCTCCAATGCATGTTGCTTTTTAAATGCAGAAATACATATGTAAGAAAGGACTGCTTTGAATACTCACCTTAGGGGAGAAAATGTGTTCTACAATAAATGATTTTCAGTGTATATTCTTTTTAGTGCCAGTGCTGTCAAACTTGTGACCCTCCAGGTGTTTTGGAGTTCAGCTCCCAGAATTCCTGACTATTGGATAAGCTGGCTAGGACTTCTGGGAGTCTGAAACATCTGAAGGGCCAACAGGTTTGACACCTCTGCAAGTTTAGCCCATTTTGGAGAATGATAATAATAACTGTCCAACACACATTTTGGTGCCTCAAATGTTAGTCCTGTTTCTGGGCATATTTGCTGATTCAAAAAATGGCACCGGTTTTCCCCTATTGGCTGTTTGCGATACAGAACATATGCCATATACCAGTTGCCATCTGCTTGCCCATAGTGAATCTTGATAACCATTTCTAAGAAACTAGAGTTAATGTGGCCTATCCAATACCATTTTCTGAATCTGCACCCCAAATAACACCAGGAACCGGCCTAAAAACCCACACACCAATAATTTTTGTTGTGTGTTATATAGAGGGTTAATGGGTAAAAAATGGAGCCCTCAGTGGCACAGTGGGTTAAACCCCTGTGCCGGCAGGACTGAAGACCGACAGTTAGCAGGTTCGAATCTGGGGAGAGGCGGATGAGATCCCTCTATCAACTCCAGCTCCTCATGTGGGGACATGAGAAGGATGATAAAAACATCAAATCATCAGGGCGTCTCCGGGGCAACATCCTTGCAGACGGCCAATTCTCTCACACCAGAAGTGACTTGCAGTTTCTCAAGTCGCTCCTGACACAACAACAACATGGGTTAAAAATTACAAGATAACTGCAAATAATCTTCTGTGTTTACAATTTTAAGTTACAGATTAAGAATCTAAATATTTTGGTGTAGTAAAATAGAAAATTGTTTATTAAAAACGAGTTGGACTAGAGCATATAGTTATTACTGACATCAGTGGGACTCAAGGAAACCAGAACTGACTTGAGATATCAATTTCAGTGGGACACAATTTAACTTTATTACTTTTGTCAAATATTTGTAAGAAAAAAAACTTTAAAAATAACAAATGATGCCCCAAGAGCAAGAAAATGATATTTTGCTTCTTCATAGAACAGTATGTAACAACATCCTCCCAGCTATCAGAAAAAACAGACGAAACTGTATGCCCACACTAATGGCTTTGTTAAGTAGTTGTGAATCTATCCAACTTCTGTAGTTTGCTGTACGTACATATAGTCCTGGGTGTTTTGGCCTGCCACAGCCGTCACCAGCACTGGTAATTCCTACCTGATAATACCTGGTGGCATTTGGAAAATAGCACACCAGAGGACCACCACTGTCACCCTGGAATATGAAAAATAAATAATACACTTTAAGCATTGTTTGGAACTATAGAACAATGTGGGCATCCTGAATTGGATAATCTTCCTTTAGTTAGATAGCAAATAAATCATTCTCAAAAAATATTTATGCATACTCTTGCAACTAGATATTGCCCTAACATATTAAATGTAGTCTTAAAATCAGTTCAGAGAATGTTAAGATCCACTCAGTTTCCGCTATCATCAAACCATTATACACATAAGGAACCACCCTGTTTTTCCAAGTGATCTCTTTTAATCATACGTGTCAAATGCAAGGCCTGCGGGCCAAATCTGGCCTGCCACATAATTTTATGTGGTCCGCAAAGCTTTCAATGCCAGGGCAAAATAGTTACTTATATATAGTTTTACAATTACAGCTGGCCCTTTGAAGGCAATCCCAAGGCTGATATGCCCCTCGGTGAACATAATCTGACACCCCTACCTTAAGTGGAAATGTAATAGCCCACTTCTTAAAGGAAAGAACTATAGTCATGTTTTCTAAACAGGTTGCCTGCCTTTTCTCTAGCCCACTCATATGTACGGTTACAATTTTTTTGAAATTGTGATGATGGGTTTTCAATTTCAGCAGGAAAATAATTTCATAGTACTTATTCTTCCTTTTCTGCACTTTCTTTCTCCTTTCATCTACCCACTCACTTTAATTTAGATCTTGGAAGTTGGAACCTTTTGTATTTAATTTGTGTAGTGCCTTGGGCACATCAAGCATTCTTACAAAAAAGGCTGATGATAAAACAAAACAAAACTGTGATATTTCTTGAATTTTGATATGACAGTTCTAACAATCATCCCCAAACAAATTCACAGCTTTTGTGCTCCTGTTAATTAACAAAGTGTAACAAAAAACCACATGAAAAGATGTTTTGAAAATGGGATTGTCTCAGTTTTACCTGGCAGCTATCAATCTTTCCACTTGCAGAACCAGCACAAATCATATTCAGTGATATTGTTCCTGCATACCAATCAAGCTTGTTACAAACTCTTCGTGGAATAATATCAACCTTAGCTTCTTGTAATATATATTCATCTGCACCTATAATAAAAACATACAACAAAGCTGTTTCTTTTTGTTTAATGTCTTGTATAAACTGGTGTTATTCTATTTATTTATTTATTTATTTATCGTGTCATGGGCAGCCAGACAATTGTATTACATTTCTAACAAAACAAACAAACAGACGAAACACAAAATTTGCAAGCTTGGTAGTTGATTAAATGTCCTTTGACCAGTATCTGGCCATTTGGAGTGCCTCTGGTGTTGCCGCAAGAAGGTCCTCCATTGTGCATGTAGCAGGGCTCAGGTTGCATTGCAGCAGGTGGTCAGTGGTTTGCTCTTCTCCACACTCGCATGTCGTGGATTCCACATTTCTTAAAATTGGCTCTGCATCTCGTGGTGCCAGAGCGCAATCTGTTCAGCGCCTTCCAAGTTGCCCAGTCTTCTGTGTGCCCAGGGAGGAGTCTCTCATTTGGTATCAGCCATTGGTTGAGGTTCTGGGTTTGAGCCTGCCACTTTTGTACTCTCGCTTGCTGAGGAGTTCCAGCGAGTGTCTCTGTAGATCTTAGAAAACTATTTCTTGATTTAAGTCGTTGACGTGCTGGCTGATACCCAAACAAGTGATGAGCTGGAGATGTCACTGCCTTGGTCCTTTCACTATTGGCTGCTGGTGTGGAAAACAGGCATTTGAAAGATGTTCTACAACATTTCTTCTAAGGCAAGTCCACATGCAAGGTGCTAGCTATAGTTTAACTGCCAAAATAAGGCTTAAGAATTCTGCTGGCATTTTGGAGATGAGAGGTTTAGAAGTTATGCCAGGAATTCAATAAGCTGTTGTGAAAATCTAAATCTTGGCAATACATTTAGCAAATGAATTGTTTGGCCTACTGCACTTAGAGGTAAAGGAGGAAAACAACGAATGGTCAGATATATTGAAATTTATGATAGCTGCTATACATGCCACAATCGCCAGAGGTTGGAAAGATAAAACAAGGTGGGACCTGAAAACCTGGTAGTCTTATCTCTGAATATTTAATTAATTTCATCTATGAAAAGAAAAATAAATATTTGAATATTCAGTCAAGACAAGATTGGTTTAGGAAATGGTCTTGTGTAATCGACAAAACGGAAGGAAAAGATAGGTACAGAACTTTAAATCAGGCCTTCCAGCGTACCTGTCCGAACGTATCTCCTTCTATGTCCCACCGCGGAGTTTAAGATCTTCTGGGGAGGCCCTGCTCTTGGCCCCACCTTTATTACAAGTGAGGCTGGTGGGGACGAGGGACAGGGCCTTCTCAGTGGTGGCCCCTCGCTTATGGAATTCACTCCCCAGGGAAATCAGGTCGTGAACATCTCTCCTTCAGAAGAAAGCTGAAGACATGGATATGGGACCAGACATTTGGGTAATCTGGCAGACTAACAAGGTAATGATGACTAGAGTTGGAAAGGGTTATGATAATGCTAAATGGATTGACGGATTTTAGAACTCTATAAACACGGGCTGTAGATCGGCTTTTAGTTGATACTGTATTAATTGTATTTTTTTAACTATTGTGTTGTTATTGCATTTTTATTGTAATTGTTGGCATCGAATTGTGCTGGATGTAAGCCGCCCTGAGTCCCCCCCTAGGGGGTGAGAAGGGCGGGGTAGAAATGCCCAAAATAAATAAACAAATAACCCAGATGGGGGTGGGAGGGAGGTGGGTAGAGGGTGGTAAGGGTGGGTGGGGTGGGGAGTTTAGAGGGGTAATTAATCAAGATATATGGTAAAGGGATGCACAATTGGAACCTGCATCCTAGCCATAAAAATTGTAATCAGTTTTCGATATTATCTTTTAGATGGCTAAGGTTCGTATTGTATTGTTTTGTTACCTGTATGGAGAAATTAATAAAAAATTCAAAATAAATAAATAAAGTAAAATATAGGCTAGTCTGCTGCATGGCATGAGGACAGAATGTTAGGCGAAATTATAGTAATGCTTAAATATTTGAAAAGATGGCATATTGAAGATGGTGCAAGTTTTTTTTCCTGTGGCTCTAAAGACAGATACCAAGCAATTTATTTAAACAAGAGGAAAACAGATTCCACTTGAATATTACAAAGATCTTCCTGACAGTAAGAGCTGTTCAAGAGTGGAATATGCTATATCAGAGTTTAGTGAATGGTCATCTGTCGGGAGTGTTCTGTGTGCTCCTTAATGGGATTGGACTGGATGGCTCTTATGGCCTAATCCAACTCTACAATTATAATAGAGTATTTATGAGCTTCATACATGGGAACAAAACAAAGAGATTGCTGTCTGGTTAGCTGTAATATTGTTATTGACAGGATAGAATTCATTTCCTGCAGATTGCATCTATGGCCAATTTATTTTCAATTAGATATTGCAATTAATGGCAAATAAGTGAATGTGTCATCACTTTAGATATATTATGACCTACCTATCTCTTTAAAAGGTTTATGAAGTAGATGGTGTTTCAGATCTCCAGGGAATTACTTTTTAAGGAAATGCAAAAGAATATGGCTTTTCTCGTATGCACTTCTGACGTCAATCAAATAAAAGTATGCTGCTTAATTAAATATTTTGGGGGGATAACTTTTAGTTCTTTAAGGGGCATGCATGTATTCATACTCGTGAACCTTTTGCTTGCTCAAGACTTTGTATTGGAGCATTCAAAATCTGAATAATTTAAGAAGAGCGTGATCAAACCGGTATTCCAAGAAGCGGCCTCCACTCAATTTCTTTTCACTACCACAGTGATCAAAGAGGTAGAGAAAGGGAGAGATGCTGACAACTCAGCCATGCTATTTTCATCATGTCTTTTCGGGCACAGCAAGTGTATGGGAGATGGCAATCTATTAGCACATGTGGGAATAATGGAAATGGACTCAATTTCAAATATAACTCTTAAATACTACAGAAAGAGCTGGGCATATGTTATGATTTTTGTACTGTCAACATTTTTTTTTTTAAGTTTTAGTCTGAACCATGGAGATCTATGTGCAATGTTTGCTGGAAGCACAGAAGCCATATCTAGTTATCTGTTCATCTCTCCACCTATCAATTCATGCAGGACAGCCACGTTTTTATTTTGACAATGTGACCACCAGTTGATTTTCTTGGTTGACTAGCAAGTTTTTTAAAATATTCCAAGGGCTTAAAGATAATAATGTTATGCTTTATATTATTTAGCTTTAAACTCCCTACTCATTTACTGAMAAATCTGTTTTCTTTTTCTTAACACTGTTTATGAGGCAGCTCCCAATATATATACAGCAACTAAGTTTTCTTAGAAAACAATCCTAATCAGGCCACATTACACTGAATTCAAGGAGGAATTATTTTCATTTTTGATCATTAATTCTATGATACCAATATATGAAAGTGAAAAATAAATGATTTACCATTCTCCTTTGTGTTTCCCCATCCACTGATGTAACATGGGGTCTCATCAGTGAGAACAGGAGAAGACTTAGGTAGGCAGACAGGCTGAATGTAGGCATTATACACGACAGACTTGGTGAGTTTGATCAAGGCAACATCATTGTTATTGGTTGCAAGTTCAAAATCTGAATGAATCAAAATATCTTTGACTTGGCGCTTTACAGTGTAAGAATCATCTTTATAAAGATTATGCAAGCCAATCACAACTGTCCACGTCTCTGGTTCCCTAGGATAAAACAGGGATCTTCTGTAATGTCAATAAATCCTAAAGAATTGCTACTGTGAATATAAAAGAAAATGGATGCTACCAGAGTTCCTATCAACAATTGTATAAAAATATTGATCGAATGCAATTTTTCTTACTTTCTTTTTATAGAAACTCAAATACAATAAACGTAACTGCTGGATATAGTTTCATAAACTTAACTTCAATTTCCCATAAGGTCCCTTCTACACTGCCATATGAAATCCAGTTTATCTGATTTGAACTGTATTATATGGTAGTGTAGACTTACAAATTCCACTTCAAATATGATAATGTGGATTATGTGCTTTGACAATATGGATTATATGGGAGTGTAGAAAGGGCCTTAGTTTCTCTGAAGTCTGAAAATATCAATTTGTCTGAAAGTGCTGGACTGTTTTGTATAAATGTGGTAACCTGCTACAATAAGTAAAACACTATATCCTCTAATATAAGGACTCAACAGCACATATTCTTGTACAGTTACAGACTAATCATAAAGCACATTCTGAGTTACTGTATGCCAAAATTCTAATGAACAGAACCCCAGGTTTAAACAGTTTACTCGTACATAACACAATGCTACTGACATTATTTAAGCCTTGCGAGAAGCTCAACAAAATAATTTATCATCTTCCTTGTCCTTGGATCTCATAGCTTCCTATACTCCCATCATAACATGTGTCCCTTAATCCTTCTTATAGCTCTTAATACTACTTCCAGAATTTTTTTCTGTACTATTTATGTTGCCATCTCTCATTCCCAGATCACTTTTATCTCCTTAGTATCCCCAGATTCTTTCTCAAAATTCTCTGAACACCTACTTTCTCCACTACCTCTCATCTTCCATCATATGAATGAATCTGTAAAGATTGCGAATAGATAATAAAGAAATATGTTATCATAATGTATGCCTACAATAGACATTATCTGTTCAAATGTGCTATTTTGTTTTCAATTTTTTAAAACTACCTCTTCCTTCAGTTTTACTCATCTTGGAGGAGCTTGATTTACAGCAATGGAAAGCAGCTGTGTTCTGATTACACGACGTATCCCAGGTATGGGCAACCTTCAGCCCTTCAGGTGTTTTGGACTTTAACTCCCACAATTCCTAACAGCTAGAAAGGTGGCTGGGGTTTGAGTTGAAGTCCAAACCCTCAGAGGGCCGAAGTCTGCCCATGCCTGACTTACCCTTATCCCCATTTAATTGATGGTAAGTAGTGTAATCAGAAACTTGAAAACTTTTTAATTATGCTTCTTGTGACTGTTCCTAAAGGTGATTGTCATGAAAATTATATTGAAATACAATTTCTAATTTCACAGTATGATTTAACAGCAATATTCTTGGCCAGGTACAGAAATTCAAAAACAGCTGTTCAAATTCCACAACATAGTTTTCAGGCAATAGAACTGGATTTGTGCAATCCGGTATGTGTCTGCAGGATAAATGAAGGTGCGAGAGGGAAATGGGACCTGCGTGGGCAGAAAGTGTTACATGCTAAGTACACAGATGCATATTTCAAAATTTAGTCTTTGAATGAAAACATGTGCCTCGGATTTAAGAGTGATAGGATTTAAAAGTGATACAAACCTATACTTTCCAATGCAATGTGCTGCTGTCAGAACCAAGTTGTGACTTATTAAAGATCCACCACAAACATGGCGAAATCCTACATCAAAGTGGTAAATCTGAAGACTAACTAGCCATGGCCATGCCCCACGTGTGGCATTATGTCCACCTATTATGCGACTTCCGGTTGCTAACTCATTCACAGCAGGCCTTCTTCCACATGCTAGAAATCAAAAGAGTTACACCGATGAGATGCAGCCTTTGTAAGCACTCCATAAAAGTGCTAACATTCAAACATATTTGAAGCAGTGCAATCATTTTAAACTGCTCTGATTCTAAGTTATCTTGTTCCAGAGACAAAACAAGGCTGAATTATAAACTAAAACTCAGAATCAACAGCTGCCATTACAATAAACTACAAAAAGTATTTACTGACCTTTCCGAGTCAAAGATTTACAAGGCAATGCTTTGAACACAACTCTCCAATGGTGTGCAGGCAGTCCCCGAGTTACAAACATCTGACTCACAAATGATTCCTAGTTAAGAAGGGGAGTGAGACAGCAGGGAGAGGAATCTGCCCCTTGGAAGGGAAATTCATATCTGGAAGAGTTTTCATGTGGAAAGGGTGTCTTAATTAAAGCCTTATTACCATCCTTTCTTCTCTCCCAATTTTCATAGGGAGAGAAAGTGAGGTAAAATCTTCTGAACAAGGGCACAGACAGCAAAACAAACACCCTATGCTGTCCAAAGCTTATATTCTAGGCTCAGTGCTCTCTAATATTTATGTGAAGCCGCTGGGAGAGATCATCCATAGGAATGGGGTGGGGTGCTTTTCATTATGCTGATGACACCCAAATATATTTCTCCATACCTTCAAAAACAGCTTCAGCTAAGGATAGTGTGTATCCTCTGAATGAATGTCTTGAGGAGGTGATGGGTTAGATAAGGAAAAACAAATTGAAATAGAATTCAGACAAAATCAAAATGCTTGCTTCAAGATTTCTAATCTGGGGATTTTTTTCGTATCAGGAGTGACTTGAGAAACTGCAAGTTGTTTCTGGTGTGAGAGAATTGGCCGTCTGCAATGACCTTGCCCAGGGGATGCCTGGATGTTTTACCATCCTGTGGGAGGCTTCTCTCATGTCCTCACATGGGAAGCTAGAGCTGAGGTGGGAGCTCACCCTGCTCCCCGGATTCAAAACTGTCAACCTGTCAGTCAGCAGTCCTGGCAACACAAGGGCTCCTATCTGGGGAAGGAGGTGTGTCAATCAGTTTTGGATGGGTTTACACTCCCCCTGAAAGACTGTGTTCACAGCTTGGGAGTGCTCCTGGATCCATTTCTCCAAATGTCAGCCCAGGTAGATGGACGATCAGGACTGCTTACTATCAACTTTGACTAAACCGCCAGCTGCATCCCTTTCTAGATTTGGAGGACCTGAAGATGGTAGTGCACGCAGCGGTAACCTCAAGGTTAGACTTTTGCAATGCACTTTACATTGGGCTACTTTTGTACGAAGTTCAGAGACTCCAACTAGTTCTAAATACGGTTGCCTGATTGGTTCCAGTAACAGTAAGAGTGAGCTGCCAATTAGTTTCCAGGCAAAGTATAAGGTATTGGTTTTGACCTTTAAAGCCATATATTGGTTTGGGTCCAGGTTATCTAAAGGATTGCCTTTTCCCATACAATCCGCCCCACACACTTCAGTCTCCTGGGGACGTCTGCTTCAACCAGCCAGAATTTGACTGGCAACTACCACCCAGAGGACTTTTTCATCTGCTGCCCCAAGACATGCCAGTAGAGCTCCAAAAACTAAATCCGCTCTCGGAATTTAAGACAACAGTGAAGACCTCTTTCTTCCAGCTTTCTATGCAGACAGTCTTTAAACATAAAGATGAATTTAATGCATGTCCTTTGTTTATTCTCTGTTTTGTCTGTTTTAATATGTATTTCACAGAGATACGTTTTGGTATGTAACTTTTATGGAAGTACGTTTTGGTGTGTGTATTTGTGGTGTTTTTGCTGTTTTCATGTGTTTTAATTGTTTTGTAACTTGCCTCAAGGTGTGAGGGCAACAAAAATATATTATTATTATTATTATTATTATTATATTTGCCTGGAGTCACACTTTTTTAAAGTACCGGTTCCGACTTACATACAAATACAACTTAAGAACAAATCTACAGAATCTAAGATGAGGACTGCCTGTATTGAAAGTGCAACTGCTGCTGACCTGAAGGGTCAACCTCCGTGTTGGCTTTTCAACAGGAAAAAGTGGGAAGAAATGACAACATGGAAACCCGCTTGAGGCCACATCAGAAGCAGCATTTGCCATAGTTAGAAGGGATCATGGTTTCCACAGTGTTGAAACCCTAGGGCAGTGTTTTTCAACTTGGGGGTTGGGATCCCTGGAGGGGTCGCCGAAGACCATCAGAAAATACATCTTTTTGATGGTCTTAGGCTGAAGATCTCTCTGTTACTCCTTCTCTTCCTTTTTGATGTTGGTGAATTACAACTCCCAGAATTCAAAAACAGCCCCTCCAACCCCATTAGTAATCAATGTTGTCCATGTACGTAGTGTGCCAAGTTTTGTGCAGATACCCTGTGGGCTCGGTTCAGAGTGCTCTTTGATTGTAGGCGAACTATAAATCCCAACAACTACCACTGCCAAATGCCAATTTTGGTCCAGATCCATCATTGTTTGAGTCCACAGTGCTCTCTGGATGCAGGTGAGCTGCAACTTCAAAACTCAAGCTCAATGTTCACCAGGCCCGTAGCCGGGATTTCTATTCGGGGGGGGGGGGGGAGTTTGTTTTGGGGGGGGCTGAGTCTGAGTGAAAGAGGGTCTACCCTAGCAAACCTTTTGTATCGTTACCCCAATACCCCCATGCATATGGGATATTGAGCATGGTGATCAGATCATGATATGAATAAACATAACAGTTTAAATAATGCACCAGTAAGGCCTTCTCACGGACCACCATGAGAATTTGGGGAGGGGGGGGCTGAAGCCCCCTAAGCCCCCCCCCCCCCGGCTACATGCCTGATGCCCACTAAACCCTTCCAGTATTTTCTGTTGGTCATGGGAGTGGTGTGTGACAAGTTAGGTTAAATTCCTTCGTTGGTGGGTTTCAGAATGCTCTTTGATTGTCGGTGAACCACAAATCCCAGCAACTACACCTCCCAAATGTCAAGTCTATTTTCCCCAAACTCCACTAGTATTCACATTTGGGCATATTGAGTATTTATGCTAAATTTGGTCCAACTCCCAGCATGCCACAGGACGTTGCCATGGTAACTAAAGGCGCACCACAACTCCCTCACAGCGTAGCGCCCCAGGGCCTTGCGTGTGCCTCTCTTGGCCTCCAGATAAAACCCTTCCTCGGCGAGCCATCACTAGGCAACGGGAAGGGAAGGCAAACCACGGCTCACCCCCAACGGGGAACGCCTCCTCTCCCCTCAGCAGCACGGGCGGCAGCGGCAGCAGCAGCAAGAGCGCCGGGACAAGGCTTCGCCCCATCCTCCGCCCAGAGGGAAAACAAAAATGGCGGTTACCTGGACTTTCTTCCCTGGCTTCGCCAGGAGTGACGTCACGCGCTCACGTGACTCGCCAGTTCGGCAAGCTGCCAGGAATCCCCCAAGGACGAACGATTGGGAGAACTGCCTTGGAACAAGAAGGGATCTGGATTTCGAAAGATTTGCCTATGCATAATGAGAGAGATCTTAGGGATGGGACCCAAGCCTATAGACTATCCCACTGGACATGGCAAGTGTTTGGAAGAGGAGATTTGTGGAAAGACACACCTCCTCTCCTGGACTATGATTTTTTTGTTCCTGGGTTATAAATGTCATTTCCTAATTGGTTGTATTTGCAGGAGGGACATCCTGCTATCGTACATTTTTGCTCTAATTTCTAAATTGTTTAATATCTTGTAGAGTCTTCACCAATTTCACATAGTTTGTGGCGGGCACAGAAACAAAGTTTCCGGAGCACAACAAGTGCTTTCAAAGTGAGGACTACACAACTAAACAGGAAATAATGCAAACTAAGAACATATTTTCATTATTATTATTAGCTTGGGTACCTGGCGATGCTCGGCTTATTTGAAAAAGGCATTGCTTGTGCTCCAGGTTTAATCTAAATCTAAACTGGTCGTTCGAGGATATTCGAGGTATTATTTAATCTAAATTGGTCGGGTTCAGTAGGTGCGCGGGAACTACAATTCCCATATGCGAAGGTCAATCACCCCCCAAACCCCGCCTGTATGCACAGTTGGCCACATTGGGTCTGTGTGCCAAGTTTGGTGCAGATCTGTCATTGGTGGACTTCAGAATGCTTTCTGGATGCAGGGTGAACTATAACTCCCATACAGGTGGGACAGTCGTCCCGTCTCCCACAAACCCCTCCAGTAGGTTCTGTTGGTCATGGGGGCTCTGTGTGCCAAGGGTAGTCCATACCTGTCATTGCTGAGAATCAGAATGCTGTCTGGATGCAGGGTAAACTACAACTCCTAAGCGGGTGGGTCAGTCCCCACTCATCCACCCAAATACCTCTTGTATGTTCTGTTGGTCATGGGGGTTCTGTGAGCTAAGTCTGGTCCATTGGTGAGAATCAGAGTGCTCTCTGGATGCAGGGTGAACTACGACTCCCATGCTGGTGGATCAGTCCTTTTCACATCCAAACCAGGGCTGACCCGGCTTAGCGTCCAAGATCAGGATGAGGAAGAGCGCTGAGGTGACAGAAGCAGAGAATCTGCATTAGCCACCTCCAGCAGTTCCTAGCTATTAGGTTTGTTCTTTGGGGTCAAAAGTACAGTTTTGATCAAGTTTTAAGCCATTAGAATCCGTGCCTCTGAGATTTGGAAACTTATAACATGGCTCCCAGATTTTGTAGTTCAAGAATGACTTTTTGGCTTCAACTTTAAACGATGCTGTGACTATGCTAGGAAGTGTTAGAATGTGTCGTAGTAATAAATTAGTGACAATGAACGGGTATTTGTGAGGGCTAGCCCAGGCATGGGCCAACTTCGACCCTGCAGTGGTTTTGGACTTAAATTCCCACAATTCCTAGCAGCATGAAGTCCAAAACATCTGCAGAGCCAAAGTTGACCCATGCCTGGGCTAGCATCTCGTCCCACACACAAAGTAAATCTGTCAGTAACTCAGAACACATGTCCTGCCAGATTATATACCAGTGGTTCCCAGCCTTTTTTTTACCAGGGACCACTCCCCAACATTAGTACCAAAAGGGTTACAAAACAGTTTTCTGGTCAACTTTAGATTCAGTTTGGTTATTTGGGGCGCTGATTCAGAAACTTGCATCAGATAGACATCCACAAACATGGAAGTTCCCACAAGATCAGAAAATATTCCAAATAATACTGATTTACATTTCTAAAAATCTGTCTATAATATAATTTCTAGTAAAAGGTTATTTGCTACAATCCATTAAAATATGATTTATTTCATATACTGGCTGTTGGATCCAAAGAGATAGGAGTTGGTGACAGGATATGTAATACCTTTGAGAACCACTGGAGGTCCAAAGACAACAGCACCAGAGTAGTATTTAGGGTAGCACTGGGGACCTCTCCAGACAGGCAGTCTATCCCAGGATCGTTATCCCCGGTTTTCTGTTTATCCCAAATTATCTGGCAGTACAGACCTATATAATCTAGTTTAAACCAGAAAACTTAAGATCAGAACCTGGGATATAGGGCCTGTCTGGAAGGGCCCTGAGTGAATAAGGTCTAGAAAAGTTAAATGTGAAATTTTATTGGCCCAGAGTTAAGCGATGGGGACACTTGCAACAGTTTTCCAGCCTTGCCTTAGTCCACTCAGTACAAGCCTGTGACAAAGAAACTCCTCCTTTCTATCTTACCTTTTTCTTTCAACCTTAGCCTTTCATGGATCCTGGAGCAGAACTGAAAAAACAGACTTTCAGGGTCCATTTTAGAAAATGCTTTCAGATGGTCTCTAGAAGAGTCACGTTTTATTTAGTCATGCAAGGCTTACTTGACTTGCTTGTGTCATTTCATGTGTGAAATAAAAAGTTTGCTAAAACATATTGAACTCTTTTTTGTGGAGTAGCAGCCTGTCCTTGTTCTTTCCATGTTCTGCCCCTAGTGCCAAAGTTTCTGTTAAAGAAGTAAAACCCAGGAATACATTGACATTGTTAAATGAGATGTATTTCTACTAAGCCCTTTACTTTAGGGTGTGGATGGGATCCAAAAGTTGCAGTTCTTGTTAAATTGAATTTAATTAAAGGCAACTATGAATGACAGATTTCCAGATCACTCTGTAATGAAGAGCCTGACTGGTGTCTTACAGACTGAGCGGCTCTGGCTTCCTTGATGGACTTTATCAATCTGAAATGCAATTTTTCACTAATTGCCCTTGATTTTAACAAGTGTTAATTGTCTTTTTCTAGTGAGGCATGCCTTCTCACTCTGCTGCAAGGGTCCAGTGGCCCAAGAAATCCATGACAGAATTTAACTTGCTTCACACGTTTTTTAGATTTACAAAATTTACTGTTTTGGAAAAATAAAATATGTGTTTCATTTGCTTTAAAAGCAACAAGAGAAAAAATAATTTATAAAAATCAAACTTTTTAGTACAGTGCCAATCCTTGCAATACTGTGGATGTACTTACGGCTCAAGATGAATTAATTTCCTTCCAAGACGGTTACTTTTTAAGTAAAAAATTTGGAGAGAATTCCAAACATATTTAAATCCATGTGTTTTATTTGCATATGTTTTTATGAACATCCAGTTCAGTATGATTTCTTAAATATTGTAAAAAAGCATGGCATTAGTATCTCCAATGCATGTTGCTTTTTAAATGCAGAAATACATATGTAAGAAAGGAGTGCTTTGAATACTCACCTTAGGGGAGAAAATGTGTTCTACAATAAATGATTTTCAGTGTATATTCTTTTAGTGCCAGTGCTGTCAAACTTGTGACCCTCCAGGTGCTTTGGAGTTCAGCTCCCAGAATTCCTGACTATTGGATAAGCTGGCTAGGACTTCTGGGAGTCTGAAACATCTGAAGGGCCAACAGGTTTGACACCTCTGCAAGTTTAGCCCATTTTGGAGAATGATAATAATCACTGTCCAACACACATTTTGGTGCCTCAAATGTTAGTCCTGTTTCTGGGCATATTTGCTGATTCAAAAAATGGCACCGGTTCTCCCCTATTGGCTGTTTGTGATACAGAACATATGCCATATACCAGTTGCCATCTGCTTGCCCATAGTGAATCTTGATAACCATTTCTAAGAAACTAGACCTAATGTGGTCTTTCCAATACCATTTTCTGAGTCTGCTCCCCAAATAACCCCAGGAACCGGCCTAAAAACCCACACACCAATCATTTTTGTTGTGTGTTATATGGAGGGTTTATGGGTAAAAAATTACAAGATAATTGCAAAGAATCTTTTGTGTTTTCAATTTTAAATTACAGATTAAGTATCTGAATATTTTGCTGTCATAAAATAGCAGAAAATTGTGTATTAAAAACGAGTTGGATTAAAGCATATCGTTATTACTGAAATCAGTGGGACTCAAGGAAGCCAGAACTAACTTGAGATATCAGTTTCAGTGGGACACAATTCAACTTAATTACTTTTGTCAGTATTTGCAAGAAGAAAATACATGATGCCCCAAGTGCAAGAAAATGATATTTTGCTTCTTCATAGAACAGTATGTAACAACATCCTCCCAGGTATCAGAAAAAACAGGACAAATTGTATGCCCACACTAATGGCTTTGTTAAGTAGTTGTGAATCTATCCAACTTCTGTAGTTTGCTGTACGTACATATAGTCCTGGATATTTTGGCCTGCCACAGCCAATGCCAGCGCTGGTAATTCCTACCTGATAATACCTGGTGGCATTTGGAAAATAGCACACCAGAGGACCACCACTGTCACCCTGGAATATGAAAAATAAATAATACACTTTAAGCATTGTTTGGAACTATAGAACAATGTGGGCATCCTGAATTGGATAATCTTCCTTTAGTTAGATAGCAAATAAATCATTCTCAAAATGTATTTATTCATACTCTTGCAATTAGATATTGCCCTAACATATTAAATTTAGTCTAAAAGTCAGTTCAGAGAATGTTAAGATCCACTCAGTTTCCGCTATCATCAAACCATTATACACATGAGGAACCACCCTGTTTTTCCAAGTGATCTCTTTTAATCACACGTGTCAAATGCAAGGCCTGCGGGCCAAATCTGGCCTGCCACATCATTTTATGTGGTCTGCAAAGCTTTCAGTGCCAGGGCAAAATAGTTACATATATATAGTCTTACAATTACAGCCGGAGCTTTGAAGGCAATCCCAAGGCTGATATGCCCCTTGGTGAACATAATCTGACACCCCTGTCTTAAGTGGAAATATAATAGCCCACTTCTTAAAGGAAAGAACTATAGCCATGTTTTCTAAACAGGCTGCCTGCCTTTACTCTAGCCCACTCATATGTGCGGTTACAATTTTTTAAAATTGTGGTGATGGATTTTCAATTTCAGCAGGAATATAATTTCATAGTACGTA